CCCTGGGCAGCATCCCTGAACTTTGGGACTCAGCATCAGATCTGGTTCAGATGGGAAATGAGGAAATGCAGCTGGGAGAAGTAATTGCACGCCGTGTCTGCAGGCGTGGTGCAGTGTCACGAATGCACGACAGCTGGGAATGGAGTGGGATCTTTTTTTTTTCCTCTTGGTGATCTCAGGCTCTGCAGGCATCTCAGAGCTCTGCTCTGTAGGACACGGAAGGAAAATAGGGACTTTTACTGCTGTGTTCATAGGAGCAGAGTAAATTCCTGTCCTTCTACCACAAGGAATCAAAAACTTTATTTTGATGTTGAAAGCAGGTTTGGGAGCAAACTGTATCTGTTTCCCAGGTCCCTGTGTGCGTGCTCTTGCCAGCTACTAATGACAAAGTCAGGCATTGGTAGGTGCGTGGTGCATGGCTGCTGCATTCAACTTCATCCTTCCCTTTGGTGCTTGGCAGGGCAGCATGCAGACAGCTGTCACTTGTGCCTGTTCTGCTCCCTGTCCCCATTTGCTGCTGTCCTGATGGAGCTGGCTGTGCCCAGAGCTCCGTCCCTGTGCCGGATGCACCACAGGGATTTCTCTGTGCTGGAGCTGTGCCCTCCTCTTGCTGTGTGTGAGTGCTGCCAGGCTCGCCTTGCCTTCCTGCCAAGGGAGCTGGGTGCTGCACCTGCTTGGCTGCTCCTTTAGGCGCTCTCCTGGGTGCATTTCCAGGCTCTGCAGCTGCTCTTCCCACAAGTCAGGGGCGGATGAGAGCAGAGCTGGGCTGGGGCCACGCTCCAGGCTGCTGGGGATGCTTCCTGCTGGTCCCTGGGGGCTCAGCCCAATTCTTGGCATAGTGCAGGGATGGGGGTCTGCCCCACCTTCTGTGCAGAGGGGCTGCTGTGGGGTTTTAGCCATGTTTTAGAGTGGAGTTGTTGATGCTTAGATACAGGAATGCTTCTGTGCACGAAGGCAAATAGCAGGCATGCCCCAATCCAAACTGCCTTTGTGTCGTCTCAGTTAGGCACATCGTGGATACTTTGATTTCTTTTAAGGGCAAAGATACAGAATCATAGAATCCTGAGGGTTGGAAGGGACTTTTGAGGGCCATCTGGTCTGACTCCATTGATGTATGGGGTTATACCTATATATATGGGCAGCATCTTCCAAATGCGTATGGATTGGGCAGAGCTTAACCTGTGCAGTGCTGGAGGCCGTTGTGCTTGAGGAGCATCTGTGGGACAACCCCAGATCTGTGCCCAAGGGCTTCAGGAGGAGGAATCTGCAGGTGCAGAAGGATACTGGGCTGAGTGGTGGGCAGGGAATGAGAAAGGTGGTGAAGGAGCAGCCTTTGGAGGCCCAGGAAGCAGCCAAGCCCTGTTCCTAGCCTGGATACTGTTCTCATAGGGTGAGAGCACAAAGCCTGGGAGATGTCTTTTGAAGACAACGCTCCGAAGGATTGAATAATAAAAATGTGTCTCTTGGGGAAGGCGAGCAAAGCTTCCTGCTGGATGCAGCAGGGAAACGCTGCACAGTATTTAAAAATAGATGTTCTGTGCAGAGTGGGTCTCCTCTTCTGGAACCTGGCTGTAAGGAGAAGGCATGCGGGGCTTTGTTGGTTGGGTTTTGCTTTTGTTTGCTTCCATTTCGAAGTAAGTGCCAAGAAAATGAGTATTCTGTTGCGAGGATGTTTTCAAGGCCGTGTATTTATATTTTATTCTTTTTTAAGAGGATCGTGGAAGACAAGCTGACAATTTAATGGGGCGTGATGCGCGAATACAAGCGTCTGCGTGGCTGCGTTTAATCCATTAAAGGAGAGAAAAGAAACGGTGGTTATCAGCATTCACGAGGCAAGGCTTGGGCTTAGTGCGTGCAAAGCCTTGGAGGGAGACCGGAGGAGTGCTCCCACTGCTGCAGAAAGCTTCTGACAGGCGCAGCATCGCTGGAAGTACGGCTGTGATTGTGAGAGCTGCCTTTGTTCGGTCCTTGGAGCCTCCAGCGAGGGATGATGGGCACACGTCGGCGCGGATGCTGAAATCCATCTCCCTGAGCTAGTGTGGGAAAATGATGCGTGGAGGTGGTGGTTATTTTTGAATCCAGGTGTGTATCAGGTAGCTTTTCTGATCAGGAAGAGCAGACTTGGGGTTCCTGAGTGAGCCTCCTCTTGTGGAGCCGGGTTTGCTCTTAGCAGAGGGTAATCCTTTTAAAACAGGAGTGCTTTGAGGCTGACTCCAACAGAAGAGTTCTTGTTCAGTTTCGGGCTGGGGAGGGCCGAGGGGGCTGGCGGGGAGCTGATAATGATGTAATTCAACACGCCATCCCCAAGTTGAGAAAGGGCAGAGAGTGCTGAAGTGCTGCTTTAGGAGTTAATTACACGGTGTTTCCAGGCTGTATGGTGTTCTGATTCCTGCTTAATCCGCCTGTATTTAGGATGCTGAGTTCGTGGCGACCCATTGCTATTTAAAGAAAGTTTTGGCCACGTTACGAAATGCCATCCAAAACCTTCCAGCCTCAGTGGCACTGCGCCTGGTTGGGAAATATGCAGAAAGTAATAAAGGAGATGGAAACACCTCCAGAAATCTTTTGGGCCCGGTGTGTGTGCTATAAATAAAGCGCCGTGGTGGAGTTTGGTTCGTTACGAGCTCCCTTAATGACTCCAGAGCCCCTGCTGCTGCTTGGATGCAGCCAGCTGTGATGCCTTTCAAGGTTAGGCTCCGGCTTTTGCTTTATTAGCTTTTCGGTTTATGTTCTTCCACTTGTGCTGTTTCTCAAGTGAAACCAGATAATGGTTCTGCTAAACCCGAGGTCCTCCAGCACGGGCTTTAGCTTGGAACTGTGCAGGGGTGCATAATGAAGGCGCTGCGTCAGGCAGATGTTGGGATTTGCTCTGCGACTGGGGCGGATTGTAGGGGAGAGCAGACCGGGTCCTGTGCTGCTGCCTGGAGGAAGTGCCATTTCTGTCTTGATCCTTCAGTGATTCCGCGTGTCAGGAGCTGAGCCTTGAGATTCTGAGCAGGCAGGGCTGAGTAAGAGGATTTCTGCGGATAGAGGAGAAATTCAGCTCCAGCGGCTGCTGCACATCCTTAAGTGCGTCGATTTCTTTTTTTTTTTTCTTTCTTTTTTTTTCCTTCTCCCCTTCCACATCTCCCTGTGGGAAATCGGAGAAGGAAATCACTTTAAATCGCTAACCTCTCAATTTTGGAAGTTGAAAATACCCGAGCTGCATTAGAACTCGGAGAATCCCCTTTGCTTAAGGTAAGCAAGGAGCCAGCCCGTGCTCCTATGGGTGCATGCATCCGCTGGCACAGGGCCGGGCAGTGATGTGCTGGCAGTGTGCTGCCAATGGATAACCCCCACCGTGCAGCTGCAGGAGGCGCAAGCTGTGCTGGCTGTGGGCTCTCAGCCCGCCTCGAGCTGCTGCTGTGCTGCTGCTGGGCACTGGGGCACCTCTGTGCAGCTTCTCTCCTCTCCGTCTGCATGGTGAGTGGGTTTGGGACCTCGTGTGGGATGCAGGGGTGTGGAGGGCTCCGAACCCTTTGGGGCAGCCCTGGGTGCAGGTTGGTGCTGCAAGGGGAACCGTAGGCAGCCCTGATGCTGTTGGTGTGGGATCCATCGATGACCGAGTGCTGGAGTGCGTAAATACGGCTGTGAACGATGGAGGGGAAGGTGGTGCGTGAGAGCAGGGCTGCGTGCTGCCAGCCTGGCTGCTTTTATGGGAGAAATATGCTAATTACCTGCTTTGGTGTGTTGTGCAATTAGCCACGCTCCAAGCATCAGCTCTGAGCACAGGAGGGCGGGTTTTAACCTGTTGTGCCGACCTGGGTGTTTGGGATGCCATACAAAACACAGATGTTGTTGGGAAGCTTGGCTTTCCCTGACTTTCCAGAAGAAGTTTCTCCTCTTCTCCTTTTAGCAATTATTTGCTCGTTTATTTGGACTATTTGTTTATTTGGCTAATGCGTTCATTTATTTGGGCAGTTTCTTCACCAGTAATGCTACATCCCACTGCACACAACCGTAGGAGAGCTAATTCAAAAGAAGCAAACTGGGGCTGGGAAAACCTTTGTGGGATTTTCCCCCTCGTGTCACAGCCCAGAGATAAAAGCTCCTTTGCAGCTGAGAAGTGATTTCAAAGCACTTTGGGATGATTAAAGGAAACTTGAGGCTTCTGCCCAGTAATTAATCCACGCTGCTGCCTACCAGTGCTGGTGAGTTGTGTGTTGCAGCCTTGCTGGTTGGATGGAGCACGGTGTGTGTGCACCCAGCCTGGGAGCTGTCAGCTCGCATTATGCAGCGCGATGCTCCAGCTTCAAATCCTCCTCTTGCTCTTAAACGAGCAGAAAAGAGTGTTTAGCAATGCAAATCCTCACACTGGAGCAGACAAACTCGTTGGGAAGTTATGATGTGTTTGCACCAAGCATCCATTTTGTGCCGTGGCACCAGGCCTGCTTGCTGCTGGGTCCCTCGTGGAGTTTCCAATTGGTTGCTTGCAATGTTTGTTCTCCCATGTGTCAGCCTGTGCTGCAAGTCTGCCCTGGAATCATCTGACTTGTGAAACTCATCACCTTCCCAGCCCTTCTCCAGCTTCACTGATTGCAGAGCATGTTTTTTATTAACATCCAGGCAATAGAATGGGAGAGCACGCTCCTGTTTAGGAGGGGAATAAAGTTTTGCTGCCAGCTTTTAAATCTATATCCTCCTAAATGCACTCAGCGATCTGCTGATGTGAGCATCGTGAGGTTTTTATATTTAAAGTGAATTCTTTTTTTTTTTTTAGGATGAAAGTAGTTGAAGATGTGAATGGTGAGGGATGGGTGAAATTAAGCAGCAGCACCATTGATGGCAATCTGCAAAGCTTTAATGTGTTAATGCAGCTGGGTGTTATGCATATTTAACAGCAGCTTGGTTTGAATCCTGAAGAAGGACAGAGGTGTTCTGATTCGTGTCGTGATGCTGCTCTCCTGTAAGCAATGGCTGGGATGGAGCTGTGCTTTGAAGGAGATGCTGACAGTTATTTTGCTGCTGCTCCAACTGCATCAGCTATAATTGCCCCCAAGTTTGGTATTGGTTTAAAAAAACAATACTGGGAGGGTGGGTTAAAGAATGATGTTTGTAAGATCTGCCAGCTTTGTGTTGGCCTTATTTTGCCTTTGTGAATTATTCAGTTATTCAAGGCTGCTGTAGTGCTGTATTTAATAAGTTTTAAATGACATTGAATCCGTTAATGTGATGGAGGAGCAGGGCTGGGGGGACTAATAATTAATCCGCAGGGGGAAGAGCAGAAGAGAAGCTATTGCCGTGGATGGAACAGCTTGTGTGGTGTGAGCAGCCAGGAAGGTGGCCCTCAGATCACCGAGGAGATCTGGATTTTATGGCTTACTATTTCTGCCTTGTCTTAATTAATTCTAATCTCAGCTAATTCTTAACAAGCAGCACGTGGAAAAGTTCTTGTTTCAGGTTCTCCTTAAGACAGGCCTGAATTGGGGCATCCTGTGAGCATCCTGCCGCTGCTGAGCCCAGTTCTGCTTACCTGGTGGAATGAGACTTGGCTGCGGGCTGGTAATTGCCTCTTATATAATTCCCGTGCTGGAAATGGAAGCTGCAGCTTTCCCTTTTCCTCCTTACTCTGTAAGGGTGGTGAATGGCTGCTAACTGTGTGTTAAACCACTCATTAGGAGGCTAGGGCATGGTACTGGTGGGTAGGTGATGTTGGGTTGCAAACGCGAAGGCACAAGGAGCTCAGCAGGTGTCTGTAGCTCAAACAGAGCCAGACAGAGCCTTAAACTGTCCCACAGCTGTTAGAGCCCACAGACCATCAGCCTCAAAGTCAGCGCAGACAAGAAAGCGGTGACCATTTGCTGCCTGCAAAAGTGCTCCTTTGCAACTGCAAATCTGACGCCGTCTTCCTCCTCCTGCCTTGGAGAGCGCTTCTGAGCAATGCCAAACAGTGCAGGTTGGCTGCCCCCGCAGCACTCTGAAGGCTGGAAAGTGTTGTGTGCTCCTTGTGGGGGTCTTGGAGGTCTGTAAGCACATCTTGATGGCAAGGCTTAGCACTAATGGAGCAAAAGGAGCTCCTAAGAGCAGCACAGGGGAGAAGAAAGGATGCCTTCACCTGGGTGTCCCTGGTGGTGGGGAGAAGGGAGGGCATCCGTCTGTCTTCCCCCTGGCCAGGCACACATGAGACCCGACAGGAGCAGCATTCTGCCTGCCTGGCACTGGAGGACATATCCTTGACACGAGGTACCTTAGCACTTTGTTTCATTCTGAGGCTTCCAGCTAATTACATGGGCCAGGTTGTGTGTGAGTTGCAATTACCTTGACTGATGGACAACAATCAGCTTTAACACACGTCTTCCATGTGTTGGAGACGCTTAATTGCTTACTGTTTTTTGACAAAGATGTTGCTGCTTTCCTAATTGGGTTTCCCCTGCCTTCTGCAAGCACCTTCATGCAACCCACAGCCACTCCAGCAGGAGCGTGCAGCCTTTCACCTCCCCATGCACTGACAATGGATGGAGTCAGCACTCTCCAGCAGCTTTGCTAATGGCACCTTGCTCACATCACTCTGCAGTGATGGTAAATGCTCATGGTGCTCCTATGCGTATGTACATATGCACAGAATATTAAATGCTTCTAATTGAGCTGAAGATGTTGACTTTGAGAATACCTTTTATCAAGAAGCTTAGCAGAGCCACTCGCTCACAGTGAGCGGTGCTGTCCTGTCTGTGCAGTGTGCTCTGCAGTGCTGCTGGATGTGTTCGGTGTAAAAAGTATCATCAGCAAAACTATTGTTGGAGCTAATTGCTAACTGGATGGCTGTGTGTTTGCAGAATTTTTTGGCCATGCTGTCGCTGGTTGCTCGTTAGAAAAGCACTCGTGAAAGGATGATGCTGGCAGTGCTGTGTTTGTGAATGGCGGAGCTGGGATTAATAGCACCAACGTTCTAAAGCAGATACAAAGCAGCCATAAATCCACTGCAAACACCGAGTGCATGCAGAGCAGGTGTTGTAAAGTTCCGGATGATGCTTGGAAGTGTTTTGCTAATAAACCATTTTTATGGTGGTGCGATGAGGTGTGTCTGCAGGGTGGTTCTCATCTGAGCAGCTCCTTTGCCTGCAGCGATGCCGTGTGGTCAGGGTGGGCGGTGATGTATGGCAGCGTTGTCAGTCCCAGCACGTCTTTCTTAATTTATTTTCATTAGATGGATGCCCTTACTGTGGGACAGATGTAACCCATCTGTAAAGCAATCTCTGTGTTTGTACACGGGTGGATGCAGCGCTCCTCCCTCTGTAGCTCTGCATCTCTGGTTACAGTGCCACGGGTGGAACCAGGGCTCACTGCTGCTTCCTGCACTGGCTGCCCCAGCTCAGCACGGTGCTCAGTGAGGCTTCAAGGCCAGCTCAGGCTGCTTCAGTGCTGCCCCTGGCCTTCCTAGTGCTGCATCTGAACTATGGAGGCATCTAAGGTTTCCCAATAAATGAACCCTCTGAGTGAGTGTTCATCGAGCACAGACTTACTTAGGCTTCTTGAATCATAGAATCACAAGGTTGGAAACGACCTATAAGATCATCTGGTCCAACCGTCTCCTCATCACCGTTGCCACCACCAGCACTAAACCACATCACACAGCACGTCATCCAGATGCCTCTTGAACTCTGCCAGGGACAGTGACTCCACCACTTCCCTGGGCAGCCATTGCAGTGCCTGACCACTGAGAGAAAAAGTTCTTCCTCATGTCTGAAGTTCTTCCTTATGTCTAAATGGAGCAAAAGATTTTTTTTTTTTGAATGCAAAATGTTTCATTCTGAATGTATTTCCCTGGAGTAAATAACTGCATTCTCTTGCAGGTTTTGCTAAGGATTATTATTGTTTTCGGTAAAAGCTCTATCCGAATCTTGAGCCTACAGCTGAACCTCTGCCTGTCTGCAGAGCAGCTCGGGGCTTCCAGCCTTGGGATGCCCCCTGGCACTGAGCACTGCAGCTGTGCAGCTGTGGGATGCAGTGCTGGTTGGGCACGGAGCCACGCTGACCCAAGGCGTGAGAACATTCTGCTCTCAGTTTAAAGCTGAAAGCGTATTTATGCTCATGTAAGATCTGATAGTTGCATTTGTGGAACAGAGTGGGAGGAGAGGTGGGTGACCATGGATTGCTCTGTCCTATTCAGCTGCAGCGCTTGTTTGGGACTTGTGCTTTTGCCGTGCAAGTGGGTGAGAGTCACGCAGAGCCAATGGAGAACATCCTCTGCGTGGGCTGCCCTGCTGCCCCAGGGTCCCAGACAGCACTTCTTGCCATTGGAAAACACGTGTTTTTGGAAAAAGCAAGCATCAGTTGAGTCATATCCAATTTGCTGCGAGTCATGCTCAAAAGGTCAAGTGTGCTGGTGTGTAGCTAAGCATCAGAATGTCCTTGGGATTGAGTTCACGTTCAGAATGATTCTGAAAGGCCTTTGGTTTTTGTGGTCTTTTTGCTTGTAAATAGAATTTCTGCACATGTTGATTGTTTTGGAGATGCTTTGTAATGAAGGAGTTCTGAATTGGGCTCTGAAAGCTTCCAGTTCGCTTTGCTTTTCCCCAGAATAGCAAACTTGATTGCATCCTTCCTGTTTGTTCCTTTGTACTCTGAAATCTTCACATTGCTGCTACAAGCCCAATAGCTGCCTACCTTTGCGGGGGAAGAAGAATTGGGCTTGTTGATGTTTCACAGCAATTTACTTAAAATAGGGAAGAAAAAAAAAAGCCAACTCCTACTTCTGCAAAGCCAGAAGCTGCTTTGGAAAAAAGGGGTAAGCAGCAAAAGAATTTCTTCTAGCAACAGGAACAGATGTACAAAGTGGTGTTGGAAGAGAGTGCTTTTCTTCTTGTGCCGTGTGTGCCAATGCAGATCTGTCCATTCCTTGACATGGTTGGGGGGGGGGATGCTGATGTGAGGTGGGTTCCAAAGGTTAAGCAGTCTCATCAGCAAGAGCTGTGGTGTCCAGTTGGGATATCTGTAACTTGTGATTTGTGGGGTTGAAGAACCACATTTATGGCTGTAATTCAGCTGGTTCAGAACTCATTACTGTGTAGGGTGATGCTGTGAGGGGAGGATGGCAAATGGGATTCTGAGTGCAGGCACAGAGCTGCTCCTCCATCTGAACTTCAGCACAGGTCTCTCTCTGCACGTGTGAGTTGCACGGCCCTTGTTCCTGTCCACGTGGGGTGACTTCTTCCCTTCCTGCAGCTGCATGCTGCAGCTCCATGTGATGGGCTGGGCACAGCTGCTTGTCCCCATGCTGGGTGCTTGGGGGGCTGCAGGTCACTGTGGGAGAGCAGAATCCCAGAAGGATGCAGGCTGTCCTTGCCCTGGTAAGGAGAAGGCAGCACATGAAGCAAAGCCACGGCCCCTTAGACTGGGTTGGAATGAAACCAACTAGGAAATGAGGTAAAATGGTCCATTCCCAAAGAAACACAACCAGCCAGTTGTTCACATTGAACTGGAATCTCAGAACTCAGCACAGCACAGAAGCAGTGGGCAGCAGTGCTGCCCCTCTCCCCAGTCAGTGGCTGTGGCATTCCCTGAGCTGCTCCTCCCAAAGAGAGGTGTCCCCTGGAAGTGCTTCATGTCCTCCCAGCACTCGTTCTGACCTTTCCCTTCTCTGTGTGTGTGTGTTAGCTGTTTAACAGCAATCACCTTCAGTATTAAATAAACCACAGTGCAGGATGACTCGCAGCTGGAGCCGTTTGCATGGAGCGACTTTCAGCTCGCTTTTATATCATTTCTAATTTTACTCTGCCCTCCTTTCTCATCAGCTCTTCTGAGGAGCTGAAGTAGAAGGGATTAGGAGGAAAAAAAAAAGGTAGCTAAAAGGCTATCTCTCTGTTATACCTTATTACATGCTACCTGCTTTCGTGGGCTGCATTCTGGAAACCAGAACTGAAGTTACTGTGGTGCAGTACATAGGAGCTGGAGCTGCCTTTGCCGTGAGCTTCAATGAAAGCAGCATCTGTGCTTTAGCTTAGGCTTCCTGTACCAGTGCTGGGCTGCCTTGTCAGCTCTGAATAGGAAAAATAGGAAAAAAACTAGGCTAGGGTTAATGGCAGTCTGAACACGAGCTCTGGGACAGGTCGAGCAGGGGGGTTCACAGCTGTGGGCTGGAGACCTGTGGTCCCAAGCATGGTACATGTCTGGTCCTAAAATGAGGGACCTGTGCCTGCTCCTACGGGATAGCATGGGAGCACTGGGAAGGTACTGGGAAAGCAATTGCAGTCCGAGCTTCAGAAGCTTCCTGGGAACATCGCTGTAATGAAGTTTTGCAGTGCTTATTGTCGTGCAGGTCATTTCCTTTGGAAATAGTTAATTTTGCTGCAGCTGCTATCAGCAGCTCTGCCTAAGCCATTGTCTGTGCGCAGTGCTGGCATTTGCCATGCGATAAAAACAGGGTGCTTTTAGCCAGTTTCTGTGACTTAAAACTTGTCTTATTTATCTGCTGTAAAGCACCGTGCTCCTTAACCTCTGCTTTTTGCATGGGGAAAGAAGCAGTGATGCAGCTTTGAAATACGTAGGAGTGTGAACATGAATGCTTGGTGCTGATAGCAAAGGTGCAGCAAAGCAGCAGGTTTGGAGTTTGCAGGAGCTCCAAGGAGAGCGATGCACGGGGATGCTGCATGCACACAGGCAGGCATGCCAAATCCTTGCCAGATGTCTGAGCTGTCGTTTGGAGCACGCTCTGTGCTGGATTCTTGTAGGCACTGTCATGAGCTGGCAGCAGAAATGCCTGCATCTCTCTGCTCCGTGGCTCTGTTGTTTGTGCATGGTGCTGGGAAGGAAAGCGTGGATCCCTGAGGTACTTCCAACTGGGGTGTCCCAGTCCCAAAAAGGTGTTGTGTGGGACGGCTGGAGCTGCAGAATGTACTGCTGATGGTTATGGAATTATGTGACAACGTTCCAACACTCCTGATGAGCCAGGAGCAGCGATGGGGCAATGTGAAATGATTGTGAAAACTCTTCTGATCCCAGCTTCTGTGTTTTTCCATTGATTTGCAGTGAGGTTGCATCGCTGACAGAAGCAGCAGCAGCAGCAGTGCTCTCCTGCAGCAGCCACCTTGGGGGCTGTCAGAGGATCGGATGGTTTTGATGTTGCCTCGCTTCTCAAAAACAAGGAGAGCAAAGCTTTGCATTTTAGTTCACTCCTTGAGGTTTTGCAGTAGTAAATGCATAAGGGGTCCCATGAGCTTCGCACCCAGCTCATTGCAGCTGATACCAGGCTGAGCTGATACCAGGAGTTCCCCTTGCACCAGGTCTGTGTGCTCCTGTCCCCTGCTGCTGAGGCGTCCCTGTGTTTAGCTCAGCTTGTGGCTGGATGTCATCTGCTTGTGCTCTATGCTGTGATGCTGTAACTGCGCTCTCCTTCCTTTCCATTATGGTTTGGCTGCTCCGTGACTCTGCCTTGACACTTCCCCACCATTGAGATGAAAGTCCTCGTGGCTGACTGCAGGCTTCCATCAGCAAGGCAGTCTGAGGATGTGAATTAGCACGCTGCTGCTCAGAAACCCTGTGTATTCTTCACATTTTAACACTTCTTTGTAGCAATTCTGCATTGCAGAGCTCACATAAGGGTGTTGGGACACGATGCGTTGCGAGAATCACAGCTGCTAACTGCTCTGTCTTGCACCGACTCCACCAATCACTTAAAATAACTTGTGCACAAAAATCCCTCTTGTGCTCAGATGCTGATCTGCTGGGAAAGGCCAACTGCTGCTGCATGGGCATGGCTTGGGCAGAACATGTGAGCATGCAGTGCACAGGTCGGCACCAGGACGAGGGCATCCCACCTATCCATGCAGGCAGCACTGCCCCTCACTATGCTTTACAGGTGTAAAGAGAGGACCTCACCTGTGTGTTCTGGTGTTGGATCCCACGCTTCCTTCCAAAGCCTGAATGCACAGACTGGTGAAATGGTTCTGTGGCACTTTGTTAATCTGTGCGGTAACGGTGCAGTACTCGATAGTTTAGGAAGAGGCATTGCAATGCCTCCGTGAGCAGCAGCCAGATCTAGGAGTTATTTGTGCCGTTAGGGAGGGGTTTAATAGCTTAATCCATCTGGAAAGCAAGGGGATTGATTGGACTGTACGATGAATGGGCTGATAATTAGCACAGCAGTCCCTCTGAACCACGCACCTCGGTAAGGCAGTGCGGCACACAGCAGGCGCTGAGCTGGAGTTCTTAGCAGTGCACTATGGCACGTTTACTGGAAGAAAAAAGGCACCTTGGCAGTGCTCTGATGGGTGAGTGCTGTTTCAGGTTCAGGAAAGCGGCCTGGCCAAGGCACACAGAGCAGTTGTGCAAAGAAATGCCCCTGAGTGCATTGCTGGCAGTGCGGGTGGGTGCCAGCCTGCCATCCTCAGCACTCATCTGTTTCCTTGGTGTGCACTTCAGATTGCAATTACACTTTGGAGCTGCAGTTGATTTTCAGTTAGTACGGGCTGATAAACGCCCTTCAAAGCGTGCAGTGTCTGCAGGGTTTGAGAAGGAAGACCTGTGCTTGCTGTATGGGGTGAGAAACACGAGTATATTTGGATGCTTTGGGATTGTGCTGCGGATTTTTGTGCCAACAGCACCCCCAAAAAAGCACGATCAAAAAAGCACTGCCACCACCACTGACAAACAGAGCCCTATAATGAGTGCATCTGACGCTGAAATGAGATGCAAATCTCCATTTCTACCAGAGGGTCACTTGGGTGTCTGTAGGTGCTGTGCCTTTTTCAAGAGCTGCTGCACAGCAGTAGGCGTTTCTCCTGGTGCTTCATGGGTGTGTGGGTATGGATGAAGCTCTGTAAGGTTCTCGGTGCACTGGGAAGCTGTGGGGTGGCCTTGTGGCTGCAGTTTCTGTATGCTAGATCCTTCCTGCCCAGCAATCCAGTGAGGATTATACAGCAGATCTGTGTTGAAGAGCCAGTGGAGGGGCAGAGCCGTTAGAAGTTGGAGCCTTTCACCAGTATCCCATTTGCAGACAGAAGAAGGCTTTGGCAAAAGGTGAGAAGTTTTGATAGAATGGTTTTCCACAGTTACTAAAAACAAGGCCTGAGTTCTTTATTATTGTTTTTTTTTTTGTTATGTAACACCAGCATTTCATTGCAGGAAATGGAAAAGCAGGCTGAGCCGCGTGCGTGGCCAGGTACGCCTTTAGGTCAGGGCACGTATTGAAGTTCTGCTCTTCTCTTCTTTAAACGTGGGGTTGAACGTGTGCACAGAACTGCCAATCTGAGGCGGTTTTTCTCTCTGTTCTCAGCAGCTCAGTGTGGCACACAGGCTTCAAAGTCAGGCGGTGCCTTATCGCAGTGCAGCAGGAACCCAGCTCCTCGCTGGGAGCAGCGCTGTGTGTCCCAGAGCTCTGCAGCTCAGTCCCTTCTGATCCTTGTTTGAGCACGGAGAGTTTCCATGGGAGTGCCCTAAACTGCTGCCAGCACCGTGGGTTGGGGAAGTAAGTCGCCTTGGGGTTTGTTTTTCTGAGTCTTCCTCAGCTCCTGTGGGGCTGGGCTGTGTGCTCAAGGCTCGTTGGTCCTGGTTGCTAAATGCTGTGTGTACAGCATGAGCAGAAATAGAAGTGAGGGCTGCGTGCCTGCCTGCCCTTGGCACACCCAGCCTTCCCACAGGAGCTTTGTGCAGGAGGAGGAGTTGTGCTGTGCAGTGTGGGGCAGTGGAAAGGAGACCTTCCTGCTGGAAATAAGAAGTCATTTTCTCTCCCCTTGGAAAATAAGATAGGTGCACGAAGTGCGTGTCTGTCTGCGTGCTTGTGCAGAGCAGGGTTAAAGCCGTTCCTGCTCACCGTGTGAGCCATGCAGATGAGCAGAGGTGTTTTGGGGTGGGACAGAATGCAAGAAAAGACCTCTTAAAACACCTTGTGTTCCATAGGGCTGATTGCTTGGGAAAAGTCCAGCAACAAAAAGCAAGCAGGCAGCACAGGAATGAGAGGGATGTCTGCTTTCCAGGGAAGCACAGCTTCTCTGTTCTGGTTTACAGGGGTTTATTGCTAGCAGCCTGCCATGCCCGGGGCTGTGTGCACCCCCATCTCTTACCAAGGATTAAAAGGTCCCTTCAGTAAATCCAGGGCTTCCCGCAGGAACTCTATTTTATCCTTATTGTGCCAGGAATTATTATTCTGGTTTAGGTGCCATTCTTCTGTTTGCATTTCCTTTCTTCTTCCAGGACGGCTCAGCCCAGCACAGGAGCCGTCCTGTTTGGTGGATGTATGGGGCTCTGTGCAGAGCAGTGATGATAGAGGAAAGGCATCTGAGCTGCCGGGCTGGAAATTTGGCTCTGGCGTCTTGGAATTTTCCAAAAGAAACAGTCCTCATCGTGTTTTCAACCCTAAAACTCTCCAGGAAGGAATGAAATGCCAATGGTGAGAGAAGAGTTCAAGGAGAGGCTCTGATGGGCGCACAGCTGGGAATGCTGATGGCGCGTGTGCAGCATGGGATGCCAAAGTTTGTCCTTCCTGCAGGCAGCAGTCACAAAGCCACAGCAAAATGCAGTCAGTTTGTTTGTTTAGCCTGGTGGTTCTTGATGTCAACCCACCTTTGTAGCAGCAAATGGGAGAAAATACCCCCCCCCCATGCCTTGAAATGCTTTCCCATCCTGTGCTCATCCAATCCTTTAAGTATCATCTGATGAAATGCTTTTCATAAGAGCACTGAGGGAATAGGCCCATTTAACACAGCCCCTCTGCAGCTTTAAATTACCTCTTTCTCTCATGGAAATTCTGAATTCTTTCTTCCACAGCTGGATAAAGAAATCCATCTCTCTGTGTATCACACCGTCAGCCTTTCTCCTGCACTGGCAGCTCTGGATGTTCCAGTGCCTGGCGAAATTTCATGCAGTGAAAACTCCACTTTTCTTCCTGAGTCCTCTTCAGCTCAACTGTAGCTCATAAAAGCTCAGTATCACTGCAGCTCACACTGTGCTGGAGCTGAGCATCAGCATCTCCCATTCGGGGTCCCAAAAGCTGCTGCGTGCCCCATCCCTCTGCCTTTCTTTGGTTGGGGTTTTGCTCGTGTGCTTCCAGAGCAGAACTGAGCTGAGCTAAAAGGGCTTTGAGGCAGCATGGCCAGGGACTGTGCACAGCTGGGGGAAAACACATGGGGCTGTTTGAAAACAGTCATGCATGTGGGGTAGTGGGTGTGGGAAGAGTGTGGTTGATGTTCCCCATCCCTTTGCCCATCCCCTGCTAATCCAGATGAGTTAATTAATGTTGAGTTTTCTAGCTAGGAGTCAGAAATGTTATTCACTCTTTAAAAAGTGAATTATCCCCGTGTGTAAAAAGAGCAGAACGTGTTTGTTGAGGTCATCCCAAAAGCATCATCACTGAAAACCATCTGCTGATGCAGAAAATTGGATTTATTCTTATGCCAGAGTTTCCATAAAAATACAATTACATCTAAATTTATGCTCTCTAAAAGCTTACAGCAAGCCAGGCTTTTGGCAAATAAGACACTTCTCTTTTCAAGTCCGGTTTTAACTGACCAGATGGTGCTTACAGTGTAGGAGCATAAGACTGGTGGGAGATAATTGATTGTTTCCATTTGAAAATAATAATAATTAAAAAAAAAAAAACAAAAGGTGATTTTTAGCTGTGTGAACTCCAGACTTTGGTTGTGGGGTTGTTCCACTGGAAATCCTCTCGTTGCTCTGGGCACGGTGGTGGTTTTTCCATCTGAACGGTGAAGGTTTGTGGTGATGCTGTGATGGCTGCTCAGCTTCTCATTGGTGGTGAGAGCGTGGAATGGCACGGTCCTGGATGTGCAACACAATGTGGGGGACAAGAGGAAAGTATCCTCCATTGGAGGCTTTAAAGGCAAGGCTGGATCAGGCCCCGGGCAGCCTGATGTAGCTGTGGTGTCTGTGTGCATTGCAGCGAGTTGGACCGGATGGCCTTCAGAGGTCCATTCCAACTGCAAGGATTTTATGGTTCTAAGTGGCTGAGTGATGCCTGCAGAGAGGGGCCTTGGGGTAAACTCAGCAGGGAGGAAGTTAAGAAGGGTTCTGCACTGCTGGAGCTCAGGGAGCATTGGGGCACTGCTCTTGGGCCAGCTGAGTTTACCTTGGTTTAACTCCTAGATTGCCCTGCGTAGAGTCAAGAATTGGATTTGGCATTCCTCATGGGTCCATTCCAACACAGGGTATTCTGTGATTATTTCTTTTTTAATTTGATCAAGCGTTGGAATGGACTGCTTAGGGAAGTGCTGGAGTCCCCATCCCTGGTGATATTCGGGAGCCGTGGCACCAAGGGATGGGTGATTGGACTCAGAACATCCAACTGTGCATCAAGCTCAGAAATAAAACCCCCCAATTATCCATTAAACAAGCGAACGAAAGCAAGAAATGCAATGCTTGGACTCGAGGACCTCTGAGGTCTTTCCCAAACACGTGGTTGTGTCAGTAGTTCCAGCCCCAAGCCCGCTCGGCTCCGCTCCCTGAACGCCTCTCCCTTTGTTTTGCAGGTATGGTGTGAATATGCGTTGCTTGGCAGCTCGGGTCAACTACAAGACTCTGATCATCATCTGCGCTCTCTTCACGCTGGTGACGGTGCTGCTGTGGAACAGATGCTCCTCGGATGGGGCCGGCCCGTTCCCCCGCAGCCCCGGTGGCCCCGAGCGCCGCGCGGCCGCTGCCAGCAGTGGCCCCGCACGGGATGTGGCCAAGCAGAGCGAGGAAGCATCACCCCAGGAACAGCAGAAGGCTCCTCCCGTCGTGGGAGGCTTCAACAAAGCCCCGGGGCTGAAGTATGAAGAGATAGACTGTCTGATCAACGACGAGCACACCATCAAAGGGAGGAGGGAAGGCAGCGAGGTCTTCCTGCCGTTCAGCTGGGTAGAGAAATACTTTGAGGTTTATGGGAAAATTGCTCAGTACGATGGTTATGACAGGTTTGAATTCTCTCATAGCTACTCCAAAGTATACACACAGAGAGCACCTTACCACCCGGATGGGGTCTTTATGTCCTTCGAGGGCTACAACGTAGAGGTTCGAGACAGAGTGAAGTGCATAAGTGGTGTTGAAGGTTTGTGCTCCACGTTTTCCTTTTCGGTTGAAATGCTTCTTGAAATTTGCTGTTGTCGTTTGAGATGCAAAGGGCTCCTAATTTTGTCACGACAGCGTGGATGAAAATGCATTGGGGATCAAGAAATGTGGTGCAGTCTGCAGCATCACATCAACTTGTTTTTTGAGGTTAATTTGTCTTTTTCACTTGGGCATCAGCCGAACAAGCGCTTCTGGTTCAAGATCCTTTGTCCAAACGCCAAATGGGTTTCGGAGAAGGGAAAAGGACCCCTTTGGATAGGGGTAACATACTGTGGCGATGAAGCTGGGCTGTTAAAAGGGCTGACATCTCTCAGCTCAACTTGTGAACTTTCCTTACACTTGTTTTTGTGGCGTGATTATGTGTGCTGGGAGCAGGGTGTAGGCAGAGCCCTCCTGGAACACCTTCATTACCAAAGGTGTGAGCACATCCCAGTAGCTATGCGTCCTCTGTGTGCAGAAGGCTGGGGAGAGGGGTTCCTTTCCTCTAGTTGCAGTAATTGCTGACTGAATACAGCTTAGGGAACAGGCACGTTTCACACCTGACTGTTTGGTTATTCCTCTATTGGCCTCCCTTTTTTTGCAGCAAGTGTTTTAAGAGCCATCCTTGTGCCAGAGCCTGGCTATTGTAAAGGCAATAGTTAGCAGCCAGCAAACAGGGCTGAGAAATGCTTGTAGAGGAAGAGTTTGAATACTAAAACACTCAGCCAGGTTTAGCTCTTGCCTCGCATGCTTCCAGCCCTGGTAACGCTCACGTTGTTGCGTGATGAAAACCTCGTGCTGTATTTTCACCTTCTCCCTTTCTGCAAGGTTAATGCGTTGTTATGTCCTATGACCTGGAGAATTTAATCTTGTCATCTTGTATGAATTTCAAGTCAAGCTCTTCCAGCACATTTCTTTTTTTTTTTTTGCATCTTTCAGTCTCAACGAGTGCACCCTTTAACTGCAGATGCTTAGCACTAATGAGCAAGCTGGCTTCCAAGAGCAGCGATAGCACGCGAGACTCAAATATTTCCTCTGATGGTTTTCTCTTTAGGCAGCAGTAAACCATCACATCCCCATCAATGATATTTATTAGGAACGTGAAGCACAGAAATATGTATGAAAATGTACCTTTTCCCATTGAGTTTAAGCAATATTTTCACTGCAGTATTAGTTTCTGAGCTTGACATTGCCAAAGGGGAGAGTGGTGCGAATGCCAACTTGTTTATTTGCATCTTCCTTTTTCTCTTCTTACGTGCACATGAAAGCTTGCAGTGCTAAACGTGCTGCAAGGGGGTCACGGTGCTGTATTCCCACTTTGGATTCTTACTTTGCAATTGGGAATTTGCCCCAGACAAAATGTAGGGCTTTGGGGAATCCTGCTTTCCTCCATTCTATCCTAAGCAATGTGTGTTTGCCTTGTTCTGCACGTGTGTGGCCGGGTTAATTGGCACATCCCAGCAGAGGTAACAGGGGCAGCTGGGGGTTGGGAGGTTCCTCCTTTAGCACCAAGTGACTCAAACCACAGTCCAGCAATAATACAGCCATTGAACTTGAAAAGATGCATGCAGTGTCAAAGGGATTTGTTATATGGGATGTCGTGTGGGGGTTGGGGAGGAAAATCTGTTTTAAATGCATGTTAAAGTCAGTATGATGCATCAGGACGCAGTTAAATGGGAGGACCACGATAAGGACTGCTCTGCCCTTCCCCTCTGCTCAGTTCTGCCCCATTGCAGATCCCAGTGCCATTGGGGGCAGTTCATTGTGTGAGTGGACTTTCCTTGAGTCCAGCTGGTGGTGAAGCCTGTTAACCTTTGTGGTTGGATTTGATGATCTTGAAGGTCTTTTCCAACCTGAGTTATTCTGTGATTCTCACCTCTGCCAGGAGTACATTGGTGGTGGGGAAGGAATGGGGAAGGCAGCGTGCAGCACTGCAAACACTGACATGTGAAACTGTGCCAATGAAACACTCACGTTGCTCCTCTCTCCTAGGTGTGCCCTTATCCACCCAGTGGGGGCCTCAGGGCTACTTCTATCCCATCCAGATCGCACAGTACGGGTTGAGTCACTACAGCAAAAACCTGACGGAGAAACCCCCGCACATCGAGGTGTACGAAACGGCTGAGGAGAAGGACAGGGGCAGCAGGGCAGCCGAGTGGACCGTGCCCAAGGGCTGCTCCCTTTCCACAGTGCCCGATAAAGCCAAGTTCACCAGTGTTAAACACTTTGTTGCTCCAGGTGGGTTATGGCAGACAGACGGTTGGCTCGCTCAGCAGAGGGCTCTCCTCCATTTCCTCTGGTTTTGTTTGTATGGAGCAGCTTTCCATCCTTAGGACCTTACCTGAAAACATCATTGAGTTGTGTATTTTATTGTTTTTACTGTTTTTTCTCCGTCACTGCGCTTTGAAACATCCTTATTTTAATTAAAAGACATGTGGGTATATTGGTATATATGGGTATATTTGGGGAGGGCAGTGCAGCTCAGCAGAGCAGCTGTGCTCACATTTCCTGAGCCTGCTTCCTTCTGTTCCAGAATGGAAGCAAAGCACTCCAGCCTGCAGTGCTGGAGCATGATGCAAGAGCTGGTATGTGCAGCTGGGTATGATGTGAGATGGCAGAGAGGGGCAGTTTTCATCCCGAGCAGATGTGCCATGCAGGACTGCTGCTGGGACCCTGCATCTCTTCTTTGGGATGCCACTATTTTTGCAGTTTGAGGGCCATGCAGACCTCATTCTGGTTTAACCGGGTTGCCTTAATGAGGCAGCAAGAGGGAGTGCAGGCAGTTAGGGATGACTTCTTGTGCTCTTCGCCCTCTCTGAGTATAACTAAATCAGCTTCTGTGTTGCAGTGACTGTATATAGGTGATGAATATTTTTCCAAGGGAGGAAAGGAAAACCCCCTAATGGGCAGATGGGCAACAAAAGCCCCCCAACAGCTCCCAGTGTTGGTGGCGTTGCCAGGCTGCAGTACCACTGCCACCAGGCCCTGGGAGGTGGCCCACCACATCCCCATAACCTTGGCTTTGTGGGGCTGTGTGTGGGCTCTCACTGCCCATTGCACACCACGTGCCTGCTGTTACCTGCTTGACTTTCCCCTGTTCTGCTTCGTCCTGAGCAGAGGTTTATTTTGAGAAGTGGATTATTTCATGCAGGAGTTTCCTTTCTGCTCAGACAGGTTCGTTGATAAGGACGTAATGTGTTTTTCCTCAATCAATACCCATTAGAATTAATGAGTCCATTACTTACAAAGACAATGAAGTAATTTGCAGTTGGCACCTTAGGCTCAGGCCTCTGGGGAAAAGCTGCCGAACACTCTCGTGTCTTTGTAGTAGAGAAATACAGGGAGAGAGAAGGCTGAAAGAGCTGCTGTGTGTTCTGTCCTCATCCTTTATTGATGGCAGAGTGATGTGCAGGGCTGAAGGCTGCAGTCTGCATCCACTCTCTGAGATGGCTGTAAGTAATGGCTTTAGAGGCGCTGATGGCTGTGGAAAGAACACGCAGCCTTTAGGTTTCCTTCTTAAAGCTCCTTTTCCCATTATAGTTCACTTTGTTGTGGCACCAGAAGTTATTTACATGGAACTGTGCCCAGCACAGCAGTACCTACGGTGCACGGTGCAGAAGTGCCCATGATATGAAATGTGCTGGGAGTGGTTGGAGATGGGGAAGCCATTGCTGGTGGCCACAGCCCTCTGTTTGCTCATGATGGGATATTTTATGTGTCAGGAGGTAGAAGAATGGAAACGGTGGTCTTCCACGGGAGGGTTTTATACTATGGAAAGCTGTTAATTTAAAACATCTGCCTTTTAAGTGTTGGTCAGCCTCAAAGCTGTGGCATTTGCACGTGGCATTACAGACACATTAGCTGCATTAGGTGCTATTGCATTAGGTGCCACCACCTGGGAGCTGTATTTATTGTTGTGTTTTAAACTGAACTGAATTTTGCCAGCTGAGAGATTATTAAGTACTTCTAATATGTTCTTCTTTCTGGGTTCCATGGGGCTATAGCACTGAGGGACGTGGACAGGGGGCATAATGGGGTGTGTTGGGGTTGGGGATCTCAGAGGGCGTTTCCAACCGTCACGATTCTGTGGTTCTACTAAATGATAAGATCTGTTTGTGACCGTATTTCTTAAGGTCGTACCCTACCCCAAATTCCTGGCCTGCGTCCTCTCAGCATCACCTGGAGGCGCAGCGGAATCCCCCATGACTCTCCTTGCCTCTGCCCAAATCCTGGGTTCCCAGCAGCGGCTGCCTGGGCTGCGTGCTGAGCCCCCGGCACGCTCAGTGACTGTGGGTTGCTCCCCGCCGCAGCCATCGCTCACGGCTTTACTTTCATGCTTAATTAAATAATACATGTACAGAAAGCAGAGGCTGTTTGAATTATTGATCAGCTCGCCTAAAAGCATTTGAGTTTTGTCTGGTTACCTCCGGACGCCGCGCTCTGTATCTTTGATATCTTTAAAGAAATGAGCTCTTTCCCACCGAACGGTTGTTTATTTGTTTTGCAGAGAACACCGAGGGGGTTTCCCTGCAGCTCGGGAACACCAGAGATTTCATTATTTCTTTCGATCTCAAGTTCGTAAGCAACGGGAGCATTTCTGTGGTGCTGGAGACCACAGAGAAGAACCAGCTCTTCACCGTGCACTACGTCTCCAACACGCAGCTCATCGCCTTCAGGGAGCGCGACATCTTCTACGGCATCGGGGCCCGCACCGCCTGGAGCACCGTCACGCGGGACCTGGTGACCGACCTGCGCAAGGGCGTGGGGCTGTCCAACACCAAGGCCGTCAAGCAGACCAAAATAATGCCTAAGAAGGTGGTGAGGCTGATTGCGAAGGGGAGGGGATTCCTCGACAACGTCACCATCTCGGCCACCGCGCACATGGCGGCTTTCTTCGCGGCGAGCAACTGGCTGGTGAGGAACCAGGACGAGCGGGGCGGCTGGCCCATCATGGTGACCAGGAAGCTTGGGGAAGGCTTCAGGTCCTTGGACCCGGGCTGGTACTCGGCCATGGCGCAGGGCCAGGCCATCTCCACGCTGGTGCGGGCCTACCTGCTGACCAAGGAGCACACCTTCCTCAGCGCTGCGCTGCGGGCCACTGCGCCCTACAAGCTGCCGTCGGAGCAGCACGGGGTGAAGGCTGTGTTCATGAACAGGCACGACTGGTACGAGGAATACCCCACCTCGCCCAGCTCCTTTGTGCTCAACGGCTTCATGTACTCGCTCATCGGGCTCTACGACCTGAAGGAGACCGCGGGGGAGAAGCTGGGCAAGGAGGCACGGCTGCTGTATGAGCGTGGCATGGAGTCCCTGAAGGCCATGCTGCCTCTCTACGACACCGGATCCGGGACCATCTACGACCTGCGGCACTTCATGCTGGGCACCGCTCCCAACCTGGCGCGCTGGGACTACCACACCACCCACATCAACCAGCTCCAGCTGCTCAGCACCATCGACGAGGCCCCGATTTTTAAAGAGTTTGTCAGGAGGTGGAAGAGCTACCTGCGGGGCGGCAGGGCAAAGCACAACTAGAGCTGACAACCAAAGCCCTCGTGCCCGCTGGCGGCGAAGGTTCGGGCTTCTGGAGCTCGGCGAGGGGACACCTGAAAAGGTCGCATCCTAAATTCGTTTTGAAGAAGTGATCCTTAAAACTGATCTCCTAAAATAATTGCATTCCAGTGTGAAAACCTTTGGGTCTGATGGGCAGGAATCGGGGACTTCAGCTCGCTCTCTGTAGCACTCCACCGTGACGTTACCCGCACGAAGCAAAACCCATCTGTGCTCTGAGCTGGGGGACGATTTTGTTTTTGCTTTTTGCAGGAAGATATTTACGGAAGCCATACAGGTCTCTAAAGTCCAGCACTTGCCTGACAAGTTAGTATGTGGCCTCTTTGGAAATGGAGCTATTTGTGTATATGTTGGAACAGCGTCGCCGGTGGTGTGGTGTAATGCTGTAAACGTGTGTTTCCTTGTAGCCTGGGTAGTGGACAGCGTAGCTTTTTCAAGGTGTTCCTTTCTGTATGGATTCCCTCCCTGGGGTGACCGGCCTTTTTTATTCTCTGTCTGGAGGTCCTGTAGCCGTATGGCTTTGCGTCGCACCACGTAAGCACAAGTTGGTGGCTCATGGATGGCCCAGCGCTGCGGCTGCACCAGCCCTGACCTGGGAGCCAGGCACACGTGGGGTGCCAGCAGCGGGCAGCACTTCCCCCCCCAGCAGCTGGAGTCTCTTCTCGTGGAGCCCGATGTTCTGTTCTGTATTTTTTCATCACATCTGAGAGGTTTCTGTAAGCGTTGGCTTGGTTCTGTATACAGACCCGTGTTGAATTCCTGTGTGGCGTGGAGCTGGTTTTGAGTAGCGTGCAGGAAATGTAATTTGAGCACTGTCTTATGGGGGTTTTCGTTTTTTAACCTGCTTTCCCAAGATCCAGCACTTGAGAAATGACAATCAGCCCATAGGGCTCTGCAGCTCCGTCTGTGCTTTAGCACTGCTCGGCCTTTGCTGCCCGACACCAGTCATCAAACAGAACCCCAGCACTTCCACTGTGCTGGCAGCACGCAGAGGAGCAGATGGTCTGCATCTTGTCTTTGTGAGCCCATACCCACACCATGGGTCTGCCTTCACAGCGTGGAGGTTTCTGGAAGGGTTAAAGCGATGGCATCATTGGATGGCAATGGTGTGGTTTGTAGCACAGCAAACACCAGCTCGTCAGCTCTGTGCAGGCTTGCTGGGCTTTGCTCTCCCATCCCATCCAGGCACGAAAGCTCCCAACACGTCCTGGCGTGCTGTGATCATGTATGGCTGTGGGGCTTTTCCACTGATCCCATGACATGCTGCAGGTGTCGGTGTGCTTTGGCTTAAGGTGCTCCTACAGAGGACAGAGCTGCTTCAGACTGCGGAGAGGCTGGGCACGAGGACGGCGTGCATCTTGGCTTTTGTTTGCTTTTCTTGCTTTTTCAGTGCTTTTTTCTTGCAGATATTTGAAGCGACTTTGTAATTACTTGATCTCTGCAAACACGTGCTGTGTGATCGTACTGGCTAATGTGAAAAGCAGACGTCGCGGGAGAAATCTCAATACCAAAGTTAGCAGAGCTGATTTTTATTTTTAGTGTTGTTGTTTTTGTGTTTGTTTATTTTTTTTAACATGTGTGCACAGAGAAAACAACCCAAACGACGTGCTTCCTTCCAGCGACGGTCCTCGCTGCAAGCAGAGCATCTCCCCCTGTGCATCCCCTCCGGTTTTTGCCCCTTTTGGATTTGGGGAAGCGAGAGACACTTCCAGGGCGCTGCTCTGCAGCGGTGCCGGTGCCTTACCGAGGCCACCGTGCCCTCTTTTTATTATTATTTAATGACTTTCTTCTTGTTTTTCAATATCGGGTTGATAATGGCAGTGATGGTTGTGTTGGGCTGGGTCGGCCCCGGAGCGTTGGTGGCAACGCCGCTGCTCTGGGCGCGCCGCATCCTTAATAGCCGCGCTGCGTTCCTGTTGGCCGTGGCACTTGTGTCACTTCATCCCGCCGCCCCCAGGGGCCGTGGGGCCACAGGGATTCGGTGTGAGGGCTCCTCTTGGGGTCGTGTTTTCCATACAGAGCTGGGAGGGGATGGTGGGACGTGGGCACCCATCGCTTGGCTGAAGTCAGTCGCTTTGATCCCTGCGCTTTCCCGGTGGTCGACGTGACGAAGGTCCTGGGGACTCAGATCAGCTCGACGTCCCCGTGATGCTCGCTGTGCGCAGGGCCGACTGGAGGCGTGGTGCACTGCACACCAGTGACACACAAGCACAACCGTCCGCGTGTGGCCGTGCTGTTTTCTCAGCCATTGTGCAAGACGTTCACCGAAAGCTGCTATTTCCCTTCACCTTGTAATTGTACTTTATTTTTTCTACATTTTTACATGTGGGGTATACACGCCATGTGTTAAATATGCAATAAATTGTTTACAGGATGCTCTTGTAAAGGGTGGTCCTTTGTAAAGCTGTACAGACTTTGCAGTTTAAGCACAATGTGCACATGTTAGTTTTATATACGGCGAGACGTGACTTTTTGCAGAGGGAAAGGTTCTACTATGTTTATATACAAAGTAAATGGATCAATGTTTGTGCTTCATGTAAAGCTGCTTTATAAGATTGTAAAATAAATTTCTTTTTTTTTTATCTTAAGGTAAACACTGAGTGCTTGTGTTATTTTGGTCGGTATCTTCCCCCCCTCCCTATGGCTGCAGCTCGTTGAGGCTGGAAGAGCCCACCAGCACGTCCAGTGCATCACCAGCCATCAACCCGCCATCCTGATGGCCTTTGAGGCATCTCCTCATGGGGAATTTGGAAGGGTTTTGACTCAAAATTGAGTTTTACTCCAGCAGTCCCAATGTGCAGCCTGTCACCGTGATTCCCCAAAAGCAGAGCTGGAGTCCTGGAAACGCACAGAGCGGAGCTGCTGGGGTCCCCTCCTGTGGGCATGGGGGAAATCAGAGATTTCCCTTTCTTTGCACTTTCTTTGCACAGAAGAATGGAGGAGGACTTACATATGTTGTCTTGGTGCTGGGTCTGAATGTTTGCTGCTCAGTTTGTGGTGAAAGGAGATACATTTACCATCTGCTGAGGGCGACTGATGGCTCCCATGGATGTGCTGCACTTCCTGAATGCTGAACAGCGGTGTCTGCGCTCTGCTCGTCTCCTGCATGGGAAGGAGCCCTTTGGGTGCCAAGCTGTGCATTGCTCTGTGTCCAATGAAGCTCACATTTGTCATGGTGAAGTGCATGGGCTCAAAGCCATGCTGAACACTCGCCATCAGGGCAGGGAGTGTTTTAGCAGCTCCTCTTGTTTCATGGCCTCAAAGCACTTTGCTGTAATGGCTCTCAGGTGGTTTAGCTGAGGATGAGCTACAGGTGGCACCTGCTGTGGCGCCTAGAACCACATAGGAGTGCAATAATGAGAAAGCATCCCCTGTCCTGCAAGCAGCCCCCATCCTGTGGGCCCATCACTGCCTTCTGATCCTCCCCCAGCAGTGGGGCCGTGGCTCTGAGCGTGTCCCCCTGCTCGCCCATTGCCAACCTGGGCTGAAGCAGTGCCATGGCCTTGAGGCACTCACTTCTAAACCATCACAGTTGAGCGGTGCTCTGTCACCCCATTGAGGAAATGCACGAGAGCCCCAGTGCCCAGTGCAGTCTCTGCAGACGGAGGGCTCTAGCAGAGTGCTTTCCTCACACCCTGGAATAGCACAGCAGGTGATGCAGGGCTGGCTTTCCTGCACCTGCACAATGCTTCTGCATCACCTTCCTCAGTGCTGGGGCTTCATCCTGCAGGGCAGGAGCCCCGTGGGTGCAACACCATGGGTTTTTTAATGGGAGAATCACAGCTGCTCTCCGACACTGGCGTGTCCTGCAGTCCTCCAGAACTGGGATCCATGCAACCCAAGGCCCTGGGGATGCTCCTGGTGCCAGCACTGCCCCTGCTGCCTCCCAGCCCAGATACTGCAGGCACACGTGCGCAGGGAGCACCTAAACAGATTTGCTTCTGCAAAGCCCATTACCAGAGGGAAAATAACACAAAATCCAAATGGCATTGCTTGGCTGGGGAATGCTAACCCATTAATTTGATCGTAAAGAGGCCTTCTTATGGAAATCCTCACTTTATCCTGAGTACCAGCACAGATTGGTGCAGATTGGATCCCATTAACCCCGAGCTGTGCTGCTGGATCTTCGTGTTTTCCCCTTCCAACAAGGCTCTGTCGGCAGAGGCAGCTGGTGAGGAGCTGCCACCTCCCCCTGCCCAGGGGCTGAGCTGCTCACAGAGCATTAACTATGGATGCAGAGCACCATAATGCTTTGAGCCCTCTGTGCATGGCAGGGCTGAGCCAGCTGTGCTGGGCACTGTGGCCAGAAGCCACTGAGGGTGAGGAGGGTGGGAGGAAGCGCTTCCCAATGCAGGGTGCCTTTGGCCCATAGGATGGGTTTTTAGGCTGGCACGTCCCCAGCTTTCGTTCGCATCGTTCTGCCCCATCCGTGGGCAAGATCCAGGTTTTGCAGGGCTGCAACTCAAGGCAGACCACGTTGATGAATTAAATGGGCATAATTAAACATGCAGGCTTGGGGCTGCATTAAATATTAACCACTTCTGCCTTGGCGCCTCCACGAGCAGTAGGTCTGCAAGGATTGGGAGCAGTGCATGGCTCCGCTCCTCCTTTGGCTGGCTTTGCCCTGAGATTTTAGGCCCTTCCCATGGTTGGTCTTTGCACCTACGATGCAATTTTGAGAGAACCCACGGTCAGATTGTGGAATTCACGTAAAGAATTTAAACAGTGGAAAAAACCAAACGTGCTCAGAGCATCATCACCATCGTCTGCGTCAGGCTGGGATGCGCAGGATGGAGGAGCACCAACTGCCCTGGGGGCCCTGGGCTGTGCAGGGCTGTGCAACCCCTGCGTGGGGTTGGGGCATTTCTGGAGGGGCTGCACAGCTGGGAGGAGTCGGTGCACATTGGGATTGTGCACAGCTGGGGTGGGTGTGCATCTCCAGAGGGCTTTGCTGCGTCACCACGTGCTCCATCCACATCCCTTGCTTTGTGACCTTTATTGTACACCTGCGCTGTGCAGCCCTGCATCTTTCCCACTGCAAATGCCTTCTCCTGCTGGTTTGACTCAGCAAGCAGCAGCCCATGGCCGACGCGTGCTTGCAGCTCTTTCCAGATCCTCATGCTGTCCCGTGTGCGTGCCTGCGTGTCAGCTCCATTCCTATTTAGCTGCAAACAATGTCACGAGGGTTGTGCCCCAAGCTCGTTCAACACCTTTTACAGCTGGGGGAGTTTCCACTGGTTTCCAACTGACCTCACCGGTTGCTGCTGGGAAGCTTTGCTGTGCTGTGGGTGTGGGGCCGGTACCATAAGGGGAGCTGCCAGGTTATGGTGCTGGCAGGCAGCAGCTGCCGTGCAGGTGAGGGGTGAGTAGGAGCCGTCTGCATCCCCTTATAGGGCACAACGATGTCACCTCAGGGAGGGCATCGCCCAGATAAGCAGTCCCGAAAGGTGACATGGCACAGGGCTGGGGGGCACCTCAGAGCAACAACTAGGAGACGGTGTGGAGGAGAAAAAAGGCAGAATTTTGCAGGAAATGGTTCAAAGTGCACCTGAGTGCCAACAGCACCTTGGGAACAGTGGCACCGGTCAGTGGGGTCAGCAACAGCATCCCCTGGGAGCTGCACGGCTGGATGCAGGGGGGCACATCTAACCCAGCCACCTTTGCATCCACCCTGTGCTTCCAAAGCAAACCCAGACGTTTTGTTTGGAGAGGAGGGATGGCTCACACGGCTCTGGGAAATGCTTTCACGCTGTCCGTGTTGGCTGGGCTGAACGGGTTGAGATGGATTGAGAGCATTAATTCTCCCCGTGCTGTGTGAACGGTGCATTAAGTCTGGATGCAGTGCTGAGGGTAATGGCTGTGGGTATGTCCGCATGCCATTCCTTCGGCTCTTTACAGTAATGGCCACACAGTGCTCTCCAGTGACTCCCAGTCCTCTCTCTGTCGCTCTATAAGAATGCCGTGAGCTCCGCAGCGCTGCGTGCGGAACAGGGGTCGACGCAACACCAAGGGAGCGATGCGAGGACACCTCTGGGCAGCAGCACGTCCCTCCCTACACTGCGCTTTGCACTTTTCCAGTCTCCTTGGAGACAGTTGAGCAACTTTCTGCTCTTTTCCGGTGCTAGAGCGGCGGGGCCGGGAGCTGCGCGCGGGGAGCAGCCTGGCAGCGCGCATTTTTCCTGCTTCCTCCCAGCCTGGCTGAAGCCGATCGGAGCGCGATCCGACAGAGTTTGGCTGCGGCGATTTCCGGTGGTGTTTTGTTGTGGGTTTTATTTTTTTCCCCCATTCCCTTCGCGCCCGGCCAGCGCTCCTTGGCTCCAACCCAACCGTGCGCGCTGACCTCCCCGCGTCCTTCCCGCGCCCAGCGGGATCCGTCCCCAGGCGGCCCCGTCCCGTCCCACCGTCCCCTCCCATGCAGCTCCATCGCTGGGCCATGTGGGCTCTGTTTGTACACAGATGAGCAACAGCTCGGCGCCAGCGCGGCATCGCCCAGCCCTGCGCCCGGCCGCTGTGTAAGTACGGCACGCTCGCTTCGCCCTGCTCCGTCGCTGCGCTTTGTGCTGCTATCCCAGGGGCTGCTGTGCTGCTGCGCTGCTGCTTTCCGGCTGTGCAAGGCCCGGGGATGTGTGGGTTTGTGCGTGGGGCAGATGGAACTCTTCTCTTGGTGCAGAAGTGCTGTGGGTACCCAGCTCGGCTTGGGTACCTCCGAGCTGCTTGTGCACCCAGCGGCCCCTGCACAGCAGCTCTGCGGCTCAGCCGGTCCTGCTCCTGTGCTGCTCTAAGAAAGCTGCGAAAGTTAACAATTAACAGCTAAAATACCTTCCCCTTCATTGGCACGCACGGCTCCACGCACGCACTGAGCCGACGCATCGGTGGGGACGCGTTGGGGCCGCGCATGGCCGTGGGGATGGGAAGAAAGAGGAGGAGGAGGAATAGCGGGAGGAGGAGGAGGAGAAGGGTGTGTTTGCAGCACGCCTCCAGGCTTTGCAGCTTGCTGGCACAGAGGTCGCAGTTCAACGTATGTCCGTCCTTCCCACCAGGGTGATGTTCCCCATCCCTGCCCCACTGCCTGTGTCTCACCAAATGTGCCCTTGGAGCAGGAAGGAGTGGGGCTGCAGGGTGTGCCTGCTGCTCCCGCGGCCTCAGCCCAGTGACTCATTTTGCTCATAAAAACACAAACTGGTTGTTGCAGCTGGGGAGCTCCCTGCTGAGAGAGGCAGGGTCCCTCCAGCCGTCCCCAGGCACCACGTCACCCACAGCCAACCCACTGTGTTTCCTCCTGGGAGCAGGAAGCTTTGCAGCCACCCATCATTTTCGGTTTGTTTCTCAGTTCGCTGAAGTCACTTTGTCATCCTGAGCACCCCTATGCCACTCAGAGAAGTCATGCATGCAGTGGGGCAATGCTTGTATTGCTGTTCCTTGCATTGGGCTGTTCCTTCTAGCCAGGCAAGAGGAGAAGATGCATGGATGCATGGGCAGGCGTCCCTGTCCCCATCCCTGTCCCCATTCCTGTCTCTCTCTCCATTCCTGCCCCTGCCCTCATCCTTATTGCCATCCCTATTTTGCACTCCTGCAAACCCAGCTGCTACCCCCATGTATTTGCAGCGCAGCGTGTGCCTGGTGCCAGCTCGTCACACAGCTCTCACCTTCTTATCTCCAAGATAAGAAAAAGTATTTCTGTTCCATCCCATCGTTGAGCTCATTTGTGTTCCTATCAGTGGGGACGGGAGCAGGCAGAGCGCTGTGCCTTTGCTGGTGGAGAATGCAAATACTTGCATGCTGCTGGTGCAGTAGCCAAGAGAAAGGTCCCAACTGGAGACTAATCTTTAACTAAAGGCATTTCCAACTTCATTCCATGTCAGGTTTATTGCTCTCTCACCTCGTTAATTATTCCCTTGTTAACCACCTCCTGGCTGCTGTCCTTTCTGGGCACCCCCTGTGCCCCCGGCCCCATCCGCAGGGATCAGGGCACAGCCTGGGCAGGGGCACACAGTGGGAAGCACTGGGAGAAGGGAGCAAAGGGCTTTGCTGGGGCTCTGTGGCCGCTTCGTGCAGCAGCAAGGTGTGACGAATCCCTGCTCTGGGAGGTTATGGGGAGGGCGAGGAGGAGGCGTGGGTGCAGTGGGGCTCATAGCAGGGTGCTGCCCACAGCTCTGCTGCTCTCCACCCTGGGAATTCAGCTTTCTTCACCTTTACTCCACAGCCCTGTGGTGCAGGCAGGGAGCAGAGGAACACTGCAGGCTGGGTAAGTGCTGGATGTTCCCCGATGTCTGATGTGGAAAGAGCAGGTGGGGAGAGCCCCACATTCCCCAAACCTGTCCCCATATGAGTGGCAGTGGGGGACCCCACGAAGCCCCATGCCGGCTGCAGGGGGTGCCACCCTCCATCCCCAACATCCACGCCTTCGGCACCACTGCGTTGGACACCACAACCCCACCAGCACTTGTGTCCCCCAGGCCACCCATCCTGAGCGCAGAGCCATCGCCACGGCGCAGCCACATCCCCACCATTCCCGGTGCCATCCCCAGGGCAGGGATGTGAGGCACCATCCCACGGAGCCGCGATCCCGACGGCGCAATGCTGAGCCTGAAGCTGCCACGACTGCTGAGCGTCCACCAAGTGCCTAAGGTCAGAGGACAGCTTCCATCCCCTGGGGCTGGGAGGGATGCGGGACCCTCACCCTGCACGCAGGGTGCTGACGGCCGGACCTCCCCTTGGGGGACGCTGCCACCACTCTGTACCTCACAGGGGTACCAGGAGCAGGGCATCCTCTGCGGGTACCGCCCCCCGAGGATCTCAGCAGCTGATTGTGTCCTCAGCGCCTTCCAGATGACCAACGAAACGCTCAACATCTGGACACACTTCCTCCCTGCATGGTGCGTCTCACGGCTGTCACCGCGCCGCCGGGGCAGGGGACGCACCGGGTGTGACGCTCACCCTTGTGCTCACAGGTACTTCGTGTGGATGCTGGTGGGGCGGCTGTGGGGGCCGGGGGGCCGGGACCCCCCCGCCTGGCCTCTGCTCGCCTACCTGCTGAGCTGCTGCATCTACCCACTGGCCTCCAGCTGCGCTCACACCTTCAGCCCCATGTCGGCCCGCGCCCGGCACGTCTGCTACTTCTTCGACTACGCGGCGCTCAGCATGTACAGCTTGGGTGAGGATGGCGGGGTTCAGACCGGGATAAGGAACCTGCAGGGAATGTATTCTGTGGGGATGGGAGGGCTTGGGCTGCAGCCATGCAGCACTGCTGGCCCAAAAGCCGGTGAAATGGGATTTGGGATTTGGAGAGCCCCTGTTGGGCAGAGAGCAGCTCCTCACCACGTCCTCCCGTCCTCATCCAGGTTCGGCCCTGGCGTATTCAGCATATGTGTTCCCAGAAGAGTGGGTTGGTAGCATCTTCCACTGCTGCTATGTCCCCATCGCGGTGTTCAACACGGTGCTGAGCACCAGCCTGGCCTGCTACTCCAGGTGTGTGCCCTCTCTGTACCTCCCCAATTGCTTTGGCATAACTATTAATTAGTGTCACTAATAGAGCTTTGGGTCTGGTAGCTGTATTGTAACAAGGCAGGGGAAGAAGAGAGTTTTGCGCTGCTGCATGCTGGCACCAAGAGAGCGTGACAAACAGAATGCAGAACCACTGCTTTAATTTTGGAAAGCCCAAGAGGTATTTTTGCGTGGTGCATGGCTCCAGCCCTGTGTCACAGAGCTGCAAGGAGAGACTGCAGCCCTCCTGCATCAGTCTCCCCGCACGGATAGCAGTTTGTGTGCGGGATTTGGCTCCCCAGCAGACTCGGATCATTTGTTTGGAATAAGTCTAAAAAATATCTCAGTGGCTCAGCTGCATTCCAGCTGCATGCTCAGTGCTGGGCTGTTGGTTTTTTTTTGTAGCCAATTCCTGGCTGATCACCTCTGTCGCAGGACCAGCATGGCCAGGTGGGCTGCAGTGAGCATGCATGACCTTCATGCGATTTGCCTCACAGGAGCAGCAGCCCTACAAGGGCTCCTTTCATGCCTGCGGGTTTGGAGTCTCCTGCACAGAGCAGACAAACCTGTCTGTGCTTCCTTGCTGCAGCAGAAGGCATTCCTGCCTGTGAATGGGGCCCTGTGCTGTTCCTGGCCTCCTGCCCCACGTTTTGGCTCCAGGAGGTTCTGTGAGATCTGGATCCGACCAAGAAGAGCCCCACTGCTCCACTGCTGCTTAATTCTGGGGGGTGGCTCTTCAGTTACTGTGTGATTTCAGCCATTCCAGTGTTTCAGTGTTGATTTCCTGGGCAGTGCAATGCAGAATGTCACTCCCCATCCAGACATAGGCTTTCTGCCTCAGATATGGTATGATGATAACCAACAGGCTCCTACATCTATTATAAGGTTGATGCCATAAAAAAACCCAACTGATTAAGTTAATTAACTCTCAGATTTCAGTCACTCTGTGCATTCCCTGAAATGACAATTGCAGAGTCTTGGCAGGGTGTGAGACAGAAGCGCACAGAGATGTTCCATGCCTCTCAGGCACGAGCTGCAATACAGCTTAATTAACAAACATCAGTGGCTGCAGCCTGAGAGCTGCAGTACCACAGAGCAAGGCAGGGCCCAAAGCACAGCAAGTCCCAAAGCAATGCAGGTGCATCCTGCTTGCAATCCAAGCTCTTAAAGCTTGGATAAAAACACAAGAGCGAAAGCTCAGTTAGCAACAGCAGGGGAGGCAGTTGTTTGCCACTGATGGGAAACAGCAAATGAACGGCAGCAAAAATCAGCAGCAAGATCAGGAGAATAAAAAAAGAATTGCTTCCTGGTGTGCCCTAAGCGATGGATGGAAACGTGCCAGGGGTGGCAGCCAGAGAGATGGCCTTACCCTGGTCTGGGAATCGTAGCAGGAGGGTGAGGGCATCGTGCACCTTGCTGCAGCTCTGCGATGGTGGCAGCCGTGACCCAGCACTGCTGCAGCCTCACTTGGTGCTGCTCTGCTCCCCGCAGGTTCCTGGAGCTGGAGCGACCGTGGCTCAGCAAGGCGTCCCGCACGCTGGCCTTTGTGTACCCGTATCTCTTCGACAGCATTCCACTCTTCTATAGGGTATGCTCACACGTGGGGCTGCTCAGCCTGCAAGCGTTTGGGAAAACAGGTCCTTTTTTTAAAAAGAACAACAAACTCCTGCAGGAAAAGAGATTGCGTTATTTTTTCCTGCCCCCATCCAGGCGCTGCACTCATTGAAGCTGCGAGTTGCTGTCAGATCGTAGTCACAGGCTGGTGGCTTGGCTTGGGAGGAACTTGAATGTCTTTGGGGGTGGGCGTTTTGCTGGCGTGGGGCTGGTGGTGCTGGGACGCAGGGGGCCAAGCGGCTCACTCTGTCCCACCGCCACCTCCCTTAGTTCTACGTGTGCGCAGCGCGGAGCTGTGCGGATCCCACGGTCGCTGCCCACTACAGGCACACTGCCTTCGCCTTCCTCACCTGCTTCATCTTCGCCACCCACCTGCCCGAGAGGCTCGCGCCGGGACACTTTGACTACATCGGTAAGCGGCAGGAGGCTGAGCTTTGCTTCCTCGTCAGGCAGAACGCACATTTATAAACACAGCTCCGGGAGGGGATTTGTCTTTGTCTCTGGCTGTCGCGTTTGAACGAAGCTTGAGTTTCCTTAAGTACTTTTGGCTTCCCCGCAGGGCACAGCCACCAGGTGTTCCACGTCTGCGGCATCCTTGGCACGCACTTCCAGCTGGAAGCCATCCTGATGGATATGAGTGAGAGGCAGGCACGGCTCCCAGCCACGTCGCTGCTGCAGGTGCTGGCACCCATGGGCACGTGCATGGCCATCGGGTTGGCGGTCATTGCACGATGCTCTGCGCAGCTCTGCCAGGCACCAGAACCCTCACACAGGGAGAAGCTGCACGGGCAGTAGGGCACCTGGTCTGCAGGATGGGGGTTCTTGGTTTGCTGCTGCACAGAACGTAGGCAGCTGATGCACGGGGTGAACTCTTTGCGTGTGCTCTATGAGCAGTGTTGGAGGGCGAAACGTATTGCACTGGTGTTTGTACATACGGCTTTCAGGCTGGGGATGGGTTATGAAACGCTTTTAATCGAGCTGATATTTCATCACCGGAAATATTTAAAATAATCTTTAACGGTTTTTCTGCAGAAAAGGGAGATTATGTGCCAATGCTTTCCAGAGCAAGAGGCATTCACCAGTTCTGCCTTATGGAGAGGCACAGGTGTCCTTGCTGTCAGGGGGAGCGGTTTTAAACTGAGAAAGGAGAGATGTGGTCAGATGTTGGGGGAAATCCATTACTCAGAGGCAACGAGGCAGTGGCATTGCTGCCCAGAGCTGAGGGCGCCCCATTGCTGGAGGTGCCCAAGGCTGGAGATGGAGCTCTGGTGACCTGCTCAACCCCTCCGTGGCAGCAGGTTGGAACTGGGTGTGCCTTGGGGTCCCTTCCACCCCAGCCGTGCTGTGATTCCATGATGCTGATCAGCAGCAGAGCCCCATGGCAGGATATGGATGCAATGCAAGCTGCCACGTCCCAGGGCTGAGCCCAACGTTTCTGGTGCTGGGGGTTTAACCCCAACTATCTGACACTGCACCCAAGTGCCTAACCAATGTGGGGTTGGAGTGGACCACAGCCTGCCTTACATTTAGTTTTAGGGGAATACCCAGGGCACCTCGGGTGTCTGTGGATCAAACAGCCTTCCCAAGGGAATCGCTTCTCCAAGAGCACACGGAATAGCTCCGCAGGGCTTTGAGGATGCTTGCCACTGGGCCGTCAGTCAGTTTTACCCAGAACCTCACACGTGATGCAGTGATGCCTGCTGTGGAGCACTGTCTCTCAGTAATCATACGGGTGTATAACTGGTTTTGTGTGTAATTACCTCTCGCAAGGTAGAAGAGATGCACTTTGGGGTGACAACACAGCAGCTCGTTAAAGATATTATGGGGCTACTAAGTCTTTTGATAACAAACTTTCCTTTGAAAGCTGACCAAGATATTAATATTTATAAGCACTGGAATGTAATTGTTTATTCAACACGTTGAATTCAATGTTTGTTTCATTAAGAGAGGAAACTAATAGAGCGATGGCACTGATGTATTCTAACCTGATTTGGACGGTTCTGTTTCTGCCTGTGAAAATAATTGCTTCGGAGATAATTGCTGATAATTGCAAAGCTTATTTACCTTGAGTACATGTGCAGCCGGAAAGAAACCTGGCGTGATTTAGGACTCTGCCAACTTTATGTTCATCATTCTGGTTTTTTTGCTCGGTAGTTTGGCTTTGGACTCTGAGCAGCCTTTCCAGTTCCTCCCAGCATGAACAAATTAGCAGGCGTGCTGCTCCTGGGGCAGCACACGTCTTGTTCACCTGGAGACGGCCTTGAGAAGCGGTTTGGTGGATTGCACTGTATTCACATCTGGAAATAAAAGCTTTGGGGCAGATTGCAATAGAGGATATTTATCGCCTCGGACAAATCTCTTTCTACAGTCCCTTCCGGGGACCGCTCCTCCACACCCCCAGCCCGACAGGGGGCGCTCTGACCGCAGGCGGCGCGCTGCGTCGTTACCATAGCAACGCTTGCGGCCTACGCCCCGGGCCGGGGACGGGAGGTGGCGACCCGACGTAACGCTGCGTGATGACGCCACGCGGGCGTGCGCGCCGATTGGTTGGATTTGAACAGAACAGGCGCGCGGCCGTCGGGTGAAGCAGCGCGGAGTTTGGGCCCCGAGGCGATCGGTGTCCCCACAGCATGAAGGCAGCGTAAGTCCATCCCGGCCCCTCGGCCGTCATCTCGGTTCGGTTTGTCCCGCTCCCACGCGGTGTCCGGGCCGCCCCTCACGCCTCGTTCCTTCCCCCAGAAGGGCCAAGACCCCACGGAGGCCGGCGCTGAAGAAGGCGTCGCCGCCCGGCCCGAAGGACCCCGTGGGGGTGAGTGCGGAGCTCCGGGGGGCGCCGGGCCGGGCCGTGCAGTGCCGGGCCGTGGCTCAGCCATGTCCTCCCACAGGTGTACTGCAGGGTGCGGCCGCTGAGCTGCCCGGACCAGGAGTGTTGCATCGAGGTGATCAACGAGAGCACGGTGCAGATCCACCCTCCCGACGGATACAGGATATTCCGCAACGGGGAGTACCGGGAGGTAACGGCCCGCGGGGCTCTTTTCCCCACTGCCGGGGTTCCTGCGCGGCTCCTTGGGCCCGGTGCAGGCGGTGCTCTGAGAGAGGTTGCAAGTTCCCTTTGGAGCAGAAATGCACCGTTGCCTTCCTTTGGCATCGATATACAGAATCACTGTACGGATCAGAAGAGTAGAAAAGCCCTCTGAAATCCTCGAGCTCAGCCCTCTGTGCCCACTGCTCGTGTCCCTCCGTGCCACATCTCTGTGTTGTGTGGGTGTCTCTGGGGGTGGTGATCCCAACATTGCATCACTGCTCTTATGGAGCAGAAACGTTTCCTGATATCCAGTCCAAACCTCCTCTGGTGCAACTTCAGGCCATCACCTCTCGTTGCTGTTACTTGAGAGCAGAGGCTGATCCCCACATCACCACAGCCTCCTTTCAGGGGTTGTAGAAAGTAATGAGGTGTCCCCTGAGCCTCCCCCTGGCTGACAATCCCAGTTCCCTCAGCTGCTTCTCATAAGGCTCCTTTCCTTTGCAGCTTTGTTGCCCTTTTGGATAGGCTTCAGAGTCTCCATGTCCTTCTGTATTCCCTATATCCAAAAAGGCTTCTGCAGGGTGGAAGGGTGAGAGCAAAAGGGGGAAAAAAGATAAAACTGGCAAAACGTCTTGAAGGTTTTGTTCACAAAGCTCTGATTCTTAGAAACTAGCTCTAAACAAAATCGGACACAAATGAGTTAAGAGTTGGTATGTCTGGTATGTCCTTAAGCTTAGCAAAGAGCAACATTTCCCTGTGTGTACTGAAGGGGAAAGCTGTAGTTAATGTATAAAGAGAGGAGAGTGGGTGGGTAGTTTCTTTTCCCTGTAACCAGTGAGATACGTGAACAGCACAGCGCTGTGCCATGGAGGATCAGAGTATCAGGAAACATTTAGTTACTATGAAGGTGGTCAAATACTGGAATGGGCTTCCTAGCAGGGTGGGTGGTGTCCTGTGGCTGTCAGTGGGCAATGCCCTCACTGATAGGCCTTAACTTTTGGTTAACCCTGGTGAGGTCAGGCAGTTGGCTTTCATCTTTGTGGGCTCTCTGTAACCAACCTGTTCTGAAGCGGTGAAATGGTGTGAAGTAGGAAGAAGGTGGCAGGTCACTTATGGCAAGCAACTCTTGTGTTTACTGGAAAGGGGACTTTAGGGCATGTGTTCAGAATGAAGAGCTGGAGTGCTTCAGCTCTGAGCGTGGTTTGGTTGTGAAATGGCTAATCACAGGTTCCCAACAGAGTGCAGTAGTTCTAAGTGAGAGAATCTCTTTCTGTGGGTGTATAATCAAAGAATATGAGGATGTTATAATCACAAAATAAACAAGAGAGTTAGGCAAAGCAGACTATGATAACAAAAAAGGATAAATAGAAGGCTTACCCCTATCCTGGGCTCACCCACAAAACACCAGTAGAGGCAGTCTCCAGAAGAGATCCTTCCCCAGCTCTTCAATAGGTGTAGGAGGTGTGGAGTCTGGCTGCACCCCTTCTGGCAGCACAGGAGAATTGCCTTCAGCTGTGCTCCTCTGGCTGACTCATGGCTCACCTCAGGTGATCAATCAGAGGTTCAGGCCGTGACTCAGCAGTTCCCAGGCAGTGGGTAAGGCATAATGAATGTTAGCTGGCACGCAGGATATTTTATTTCTGAGTTTGTGCTGGGAGAATCTGAAAGGATATGAAGCGATGTTTAAATATTTACAAGTATTTTGAGGAAAAGTGGCTGGATCCGTCCAAGTACGTTGCAAACCTATGATTGGAAACAGGCTGGGCTGGGAAAAGACATGAATTTAAAAGCAAGAATGTTAAACTTTGGAATGTGACTTTATCTGTTGCCAGCGTCCTTGGTGTTCCTTCAGTATCTGTGTAAAGGCTGGGGATCAAACAAAAACTTGAGCTTGAAACTGAAGGTTGTGAGCTTCTCTATTTGCACGTGAGGTCAGGCTTCCTGATCACTGTGGTTATTGATGGACATAAGCTCTATGAAAACCAGAGGTTGCTGTTCTTCGATATACAAACTGAAGTGATTATGAAAGAGCTACAGTGGAGCAACTGTGTGTGTTCAAACATGGGTGTAATCTTCAAGTAGTTTGTTGTTCTGTTGAGCTAAGGGAAAAAGAATGAAGCATTTTGAAGCAACGAACCTCTGGGCAGGGAAACTTCAGATTTAGGGTGATGTGTCTTCTTTACTTCAGACGCAGTATTCGTTTAAGGAGGTGTTTGGTACCCTTGTGGCTCAGAAGGAGCTTTTTGACGTAGTGGCTAAGCCTCTCGTGGAAGATCTCATTCGTGGGAAGAACGGTAAGGGTTTCCTTGTTTCCTGCCATGTCTCTGTGTGTCTTTTTTTGGTATCGTTATAGTTTTGCATGTCTTAAGGTTTCTTATCCTGTCTAGATAAAATATATACGTATATCATCATATATATGTGTACATACGTCTTATTTGCATATATACATACATCTTATTTGCAATGGAAACAGTTGTGGTTTAGCTCCCCTGTACAGCTTCCCCTGGAGCTGCTCTGTGCATGCTTTGTATGTCCAGGTATAATTCTTTTGTGCACTGTTAAGTGAAGAAACACATATTTTTTAGGGGAAAGATGTCAGATACTCTCCTAAAGACTGACTGTAGAAACAAATCAATTTGTCCTAGGCACACTTTGATACCTTGAGGTATCTGGTTAATGTCAAGCTCCCCTGTAACAGCCAGAGCAAATCAGACTGCTGCACCTGGGGCTTAGAGGCTACCTTTGTTTTCATTTCCAAATGCAGGATCCCAAAACAGGGCAGATATTAGCAGTTGAAATGTGACTCATCCAGGTGCTCAGTACTTGTATTGACTAAGAGTGGCTTTTGCTGCACTGGAGTGAGCTTACTGATAGATAGCTCAGCAGGAGTCTTTTTTTTTCATAAGAATGTTTTACCCAAGAGACAGTGTGAATGTAACTGATGCTTTTTGAGGCTGTGAGCATGATTGCAGGACTCTTCTGTCTTTCCTAGGTCTCCTTTTTACATATGGAGTGACAGGCAGTGGGAAAACCCACACTATGACAGGATCTCCTGGTGATGGAGGGCTGCTTCCACGGTGTTTGGCCATGATCTTCAACAGCATAGGGCCGTTCCAGGCCAAGAGATTTGTGAGTAGTTTTGTACCAAATTCTCCACTCTGCTGCTCACAACAACCTAAAGCACTGCTCAGAATGCCTCCTGTGTTAAACGACAGCAGAAAGTAGCCCCAGGAAACTCTGGGTTTCTGAAGCAGGACCACGGAGATGGGCCTGGTATCCAGGACAGGCACATCAAGAAGATGTATGGTCTAACTGTCCTTCTAATTGTTACTCATTTCTTAATTACTTCAGTAAAAAAAGAAGAGTCTGAGCGAAGATTTTGTGACCTTTGTATCTTGAGACAAATCTCATTCTGTATTTGAAGTAACATAGAAAATGATGGTTTTCTTTTCTTCAGAAGTCTTTCTTTTAATTCCCAATCCAAATCTATTTGGAAGCTTTTTCCTTGGTAGCTTGCTAGCTTGGCAGCCTTTGTGAAATACTGTTTTGGAAGTACCTGTTTTCTGTCAAATCTACTTGGAATTAGCTAGCAGATTGAGTGTTAGTGAGGGGGTGTGGTATTTGCTGGCTGCCAGACAGCTTGATCAAATCACTTGTCTTTTGCTGGCCAACACCTTATGTTCACTACTGTTTGTCACTGTATTGTCTAAACATGTTCACTGTTCAGGTTTTTAAGCTTGACGACAAGAATGGTGTGGATGTTCAGTGTGAAGTAGATGCTCTGTTAGAGCGACAGAAAAGAGACGCCACGCCTGTTCCCAAGACTTCTGGCAAGTAAGTAACTGTTGTAACATGCAGGAAAAAGGAGTTACTGTAAATGTTGTTCTGAAACTGGTTTCAAGTTATCTTGATGTCTTTATCTCATTCTTGGGGGGGGGGGGGGGGGGGGGGGGGGGAAGAAAACAACAAATAAGCAGAAGACATTCATGGCAGTTTAGTGTGTTATGTTGCATGTAGGATGGGAAATTGCATAGGGGAATACTTCGATTCTAAGCTTTAGAATTGAACAACATAAGGCTTTTTTTTTTTTTTTTTTTTTTTTTCTTCTGGTATCTGTTTCCACATAATGCTATGATTTGACCACATGCAATAACAGAATGGCCAGGGTTGGAAGGAGCCTCAAGGATCACGAATCTCCAACCCCCCATCACACGCAGGGCCACCAACCTCCACATTTCAGAGCAGCCCAGGGCCCCATCCAACCTGGCCCTGAACACCTCCAGGGATGGACGGGGCATCACAGCCTCTCTGGGCGGCTGTTCCAGCACCTCACCACTCTCATAGCAAAGAACTTTCCCCTGACATCCAACCTCAATCTTCCCTCCTTCAACTTAAAACCATTTCCCCTTGTTCTGCTATTATCTACCCTTGTAAAGAGTTGACTCCCCTCCTGTTTATATAGGGTACTATGAAGTTAAACTTGAGGATGTTTTGTAAAATAGAGAGGCTGTGAGTGGTGTATGAGTGCAATGTTAACTGTCCAGAAATTTTGCTTCTTTCTGGAGCTGAGTGCAGCAGTACTGGGTCAATGGATCTGTCTATTTCAATTCTTCTGAGTGCACCTGAAACTGGATATGTTGGCTTTAGTTGCTAATGCGTTTCTCTACTCCGGTCACACCAACTGTCAGTTAGCTTGGTGCTTTGGCTGCTCAGCCAAGGTAGCTGGCTGTGCCTCATCACAGTCCCTTACTGTGTGTGATCAACAGGCGACAGGTGGATCCAGAGTTTGCTGATATGATCAACGTGCAAGATCACTGCAAAGTGGAAGAAGTTGATGAAGATAATGTCTACAGTGTCTTTGTCTCCTACATCGAGATCTACAACAACTACATTTATGACCTCCTGGAAGAGACTTCGTTTGACCTGATAAAACCCAAGTTAGTAGGAATAACTTAGATATTAATAATAATTATATGTTATTATAACATATATAATAATTAGAGAGGTGAAGCTTTTGTGAGGATTGCATGTCTTTGTGACTGTAGTCTCTGCAAATCTGGCTCAGTTCAGGTAAATTGCTTCCAAAAATCACAGAGGATGAGGTGATGCCTAAGGAATCCAGTCAATGGTATTGAAGTGCTCTGAGTTGTTCTGTTGCTGCTAAGATTTAGTGCTTGTTTTCCTAATGTAATGAAAGATAAAGAAGTCAATATTTAATTGTTTAGGCAGCATTGTATCCTACTGAGGTTTTAAGTCTCTTAGAGCTATTCTGCAAGTGCCATTCCCAGCTTGTGACCACGGCTTGAAGAGCAGGCTGTTCCATCGCTGGCATTTTCCTCTGGAAAACTGCATATTGGGCAAAAGCTTGTGTGTTATTTCCATTTGGTGCCAATCATTTCCTTAGCAACAGAGATGAATAGTTTCTGGATGCTTTTTTGGAAAGGTATCTACTTGGCCGTGATCCAGGACCAGTGAATCTTGTGATCTTTGGAAAGGCAGTCTGTAAATCAAACTTATTTGACCGTATCTTTAGAAATTCCAAATCTGCCCAAGAAAGTTATGTGCATCTCCTTGTACGTGGGTTAATTGAGGAGATGGCCAATCTACAAAGCCTAAACTAGAGTGAAACAAGTCGTTATGAAAGGGAGACAACATACCTTCATCCCACGACCCGTTGTGCACAGAGGCTCTGTGTCCAACGAACTCTGCGTAAGGAGTCTGTATGTTATTCCAGGACAGCTACTGACTGTGTATCAGTTCAGCCTGTGTCTGTAGCACCAGTCCTCCAGGCAGGTGCAGGTCAGGCAGATCTGTTCCCCTTGCACCCGGTGCACTGGACAAACCCTGCCTGCTTTGTAACCTTACTTGGGTTACAGAGCGCGTTGATCGCATCGAAACGCAGAGCATTCTGCATGGTACTGCTTTGAAATGGGTTTGAGTATCTGAATGCTTTCTAAATAGGAATGAAATTTGGTTTAGTTTATTGCTTATCATATCCAGAAATCAGCCTAGGAAAAGCCTTGGATAATCTCCATTTACGGAAGGTGCAGTGCATTAAAAATGAAAAGATCTTGGACATGGGCTGAAGGACTTAATATTTCTAATCCTGTTTTTTTTGGTAGGTGGAACAATTGCAACACTCCTGTGCGAAATGGTGACTTTATGTATGTGCCTGAGCAAATTACTCCCACTACTGAAGAGTGATTTTTTTTCAGTAGAAGCAGAAAATAAACTGACTCCTTGTCTCTACTTTGCTTTACTAGTGAACGTAGAACGCTGTTGAAACCATCTTGCTTTATATGAGCCATATGCATGTAGTAAAGCAATAGCTGCCACACACAAACCAATGATTTCCAGTAAGAATTGCAATTAAATGTGGCTTCTAAATTAGTAGCTGGAGTGTAACTAACCTTGGCTGAGTGTGTGTCCTTGTACTTCTGCTTCCATCTGCTGTGTGATGTATTTAGAGTGAATCGTGTACTTAAATAAAAGAGATCTTGCATGAGATGATATACTACTGTATCTCCAGCTCCACTGAAACTTTGCTTTCCTTTCCTCCTTGCCCTCAAGACCTCCGCAATCCAAAATGCTTCGCGAGGACCAGAATCACAACATGTATGTCATGGGGTGCACAGAAGTAGAGGTGAAATCCACCGAGGAAGCTTTTGAAGTCTTTTGGAAAGGTAAATAGTCTTGAGATGTAACTTAAAAGATTATGTGTCTGTGTGGAGTTTACCTTACCATGCTGGAAACAAAGTGGCTTTGGTAGGTGGCAAATCTGTTGCATGAAGCAGGGGTTTGGAGGGAAAGGTCATTCTTCCAAACAGGGCAAAAGAAGAGGCGTATTGCAAACACTCAGCTGAATCGAGAATCCAGTCGGTCTCATGGAGTTTTCATGATCAAGTTGGCTCAGGCACCTCTGGATGCAGATGGAGATAATGTGCTGCAGGTAAATTCTGGGGCATGCTGTTAGAGGAGAAGTGTGTGTGTGTGTATGTGTGTGTGTGTGTGTGCATGGATGTAGAAGTGAGAAAGAGTGGTGAATCTTGCAGCGTGGCCTACTGAATTAAACTTATGCTATTGAACCTCATATACTTCTGGTGAAGTGAATCAAAATACAGAGTTTCTAAAGTATTTATTTTTTTCTCCTTCCTGTAAATAGAGCAGCAAAGTGAGCAGCAAAGCTCCTTTTCATTTACTCTTTTTCTGTTTTTGAGCCAAACACCTTAATGTAAGAGTATGACTTAGAGGCTTTGGACAAGAGTGCTTAATATAATCTATCTCGTGCCACAAGACAAAGGATTTGATAAACTTGTTCACAAAAACCCTATGAGACATTTATTAAGGGCTATATAAACACTCTCAATCTTAGTCTGAAGGTGCAATATGTGTTTAAATGTGCTGGTTTGGGTTTGTGAGGGATGTTCCCCTGCACCCCGCCCACCCAGCACCCCCTTACAAGGCAGAGAATATAGAGCTAATAATTAATCTAACCTAATTTCTTTCCCATAACAGGAGAGGGAACAGATTACTTTAAGCCAGCTGTCCTTAGTTGATCTAGCTGGAAGTGAAAGGACTAACAGAACAAAAGCTGAAGGGAACAGGTTGCGAGAAGCAGGTATGTACCGTGTTCAGGCTGCCTGTGAGTTGTATGGGCTAGGCTGTGCATGTGTTAATCTTGTCTCCTGGTAAAGAAACCATGAGAAGATTCATTAAGTGTTCTGTTATGATGTTTGGTTATCTCATTTGATGGTCTTCAATCCTCCAGCTTGGAGACTGGAGTTTTTGGCAGCATTTGTTGCATTTGTGTGTGCTTCAGATTACTTGGAAAGGCTGTCAGTAACAACTGGCTTATGGGTACAGACAGTTTATCTTAAAAACAAATGAACATTCCAACATTTGGAAATATGATGCAAATAGCTGCTTACAGAGATGTTTTTATATTTTTATTTTAAGGTAATATTAATCAGTCATTAATGACATTAAGAACATGTATTGAAGTTCTACGGGAAAACCAGAAGTATGGAACAAATAAGGTATGCAACCTGCCATTCATTCAGTTATCTCTTGAATAAGCTGGTGTGATAAAAGCTTACTAGAACTTCCTTCTGCTTTGTTTTAAGATGGTGCCCTACAGAGATTCCAAACTGACTCATCTCTTCAAGAACTATTTTGATGGTGAAGGCAAAGTGCGTATGATTGTATGTGTAAACCCTAAAGCTGAGGACTACGAGGAAAGCCTGGTAACTTTCTTGCAGTCCTTATCCTCGCCTACTCTCACAGCCAGCTCTGAATTACTGTACTAGTTTAGTAGGTGGCAGGGATGATAACTTACACTGTCTGAACGCTTCAGGCAATCAGATGTAATGCAGGGCAAACGTGCCCTCGAAGTCTTAATTTTTCCTCTCAAAAGTGCTTGTGTGCAACATAGGAAGTTTCTCTTATTTACAGCAGTCCCAATAGTTGTATTTAGGTGCTTTATCCCCGCTAGGACAATATTTGCAAGAACTTAAGATATCTGCACAGTCAGATTTGAGGAATGAAGGGAAGGAAGGTGTTACTAGGGAGGGATTTTTAGGTGCTGTACTTCAGATTTGCAAGCTGGGAAGTGCTTCAGATTCAACGTCGATAACGTCTCTGCTAAAACTTCTGTCGATCTAAGGTATCGCTTCCAAACTTGCTTTGGGTAGCTGCTGTTTTATGGCATTGCTGAGCTTGCCTCTGTCCTTTTGCAGCAAGTCATGCGTTTTGCAGAGATGACCCAGGAGGTGGAGGTTGCGAGGCCTGTGGACAGACCGCTGTGCGGCTTAACGCCGGGACGGCGCTTCAGGAACCAGGCCTTCAGGGAGGAGCTGGCCAGGAAACTGGAGATCCGAGGTGGCCCAATTAATGAAGGTAAACAGGAGGATGCAGGGTGTTCACAGCAAGTGCCTTTTTGTCTGTTCTTAGGGGCTGAAGGCTTCTTTAAGTATAAGCTTGAGCCTTGAGGACACACAAGGAGCTGTTGGTGGTGAGCTTTCACTGTTGTAGCTGCACCTGAATTGCTCTTTTCATGCTGTGCTACTGTTTACACAGTAATTGGGTTTAAGCTACAATTCTCACAGTAATTCTTTGTTGTTGATGAGCTGAATTCAGGGTCCCATTACTGCAACTCTGGAAAAGAGATTGTGTTGAAGATAATGCTTTGATGCTTTTGTAGGCTCTGGGTTTACTTTAGAAATTAGGACTCGCCTGGAGGTATTGTAAGGAATGAATAAAAAATGTCACTTTTAATCTCTTCTCAGTACTGTCATCTATTCAGAAAACATGTAGTTCCCATTAATAATTCTACACTCTGTCTCCTTCATAATTCTGTGGAATGATCTGTGGCTATGCGTTGTCAAATGAGAACTTTGTTCTCTAGCTTGCTGACAGACTTCCTTGGCTTTAAATCTTGCAGAAACAGAAGAGCAATCTGCTTCAGAAATACTTTTGCAGAACTTTCCTCCCTTGCCTTCATGCGAGCTATTGGATATTAATGATGATCAAACACTTCCAAAGCTTATTGAAGTCCTGGAAGAACGCCATAAACTACGACAAAAGTTGTCAGAGGAGTTTGCCAGAAATGGTAAGAATTTGAGCACTGATGTAGAGCTCGATTTTTGGTGCCCTCACTGCTGCTCAAGCATCTCTTCTGTACTAATATGGAATAATTACCTTGTCTAGGTTAATGGTTTAAAAACTCTTTCACTGAGGTAATGAAGTAGCTGGTAGTGTCGAGTTAGTAGGAGAAAGAAAGGATGGGAAAGTAATGTTGAATCTCTTGCAGTGCTTACATTCAGAACTGCGTTGCGAGAACTTGATTCCAACATTATGTCCAAAGAAAACTATGTTCAAGGAAAGTTGTCTGAGAAAGAGAAAATAATAACAGGACAGAAAGCAGAGTTAGAACACCTGGAGAAGAAAATTAAGACTTTGGAATACAAGGTTAGTTTTCTTTCATTGTTCTGAGCTATGCATCTCCTAAGCATGAAAAGCTTTTTCTGTCAGCTCTTGGCAATCTTCTTCACATCATAAGGTGCATCATAAGCACAAGCAACCATAACCTGCATTTCTGGGCTTAGATGGTTGTGTTGACTGGGGGTATAGCAAAGTTCTTCCTCTCTTCTTCCAGATTGAGATTTTAGAGAAAACTGCTACAATTTATGAAGAAGATAAGCGTCATCTTCAGCAAGAATTGGAGAGCAAGAGCCAGAAGCTGCAACGTCAGGTTTCTGACAAGCGCAGGTTGGAGGCACGGCTGCAAGGCATGGTTGCTGAAACCACCACGAAATGGGAGAAGGAGTGTGTGAGTATATTGCCCTGTGTGAGAGCTGCCCGAAGGAGTAATGCTGGAGGGAGCTGGGGAGCTTGATTGCTTTTTAAGGTTTTTCTTTGTTTTCTTGATGCTGTTAAGAGTGAAGATGCATTTGGCTTTTAATTGAGGACTTGAGCAGATGTTTTCTTCTTAAAATTTATAAATGTTGTATGATAGGATGAATTCCTCAAGGGCCCATGATGCAGCTAGAGCAGCTCTCTTGTGCACTTTGTTTTGGTATCTGGCACTTGTTCTTTTGGGTGTATGGCTCTCTGAGGAGTGAATCTTTTGTTCTGGCAGCTGTCAGGAGAAGCCTAATATCAGGCTTTCCCCATTGTCCTCATGTAAACTCTTGTTCAGATACTGCACTTCGTGAGCAGTAAGGAAAGAAAGTCTGAGGAATTAATGTACACTACTACAGGACTGTTTACTTCTTCAGGGCTATCGACAGATCTACAGTTAGACAGTGGTCTGATTCACCCTCATTGTTGCCCTCAGTGCTGTTCCTCATAAATCATTCCTTGATTTAGGAAGCAAAGTATTTATGGCATTAGACATAACCTTGGCAGTCTGTCTTGTTAGTTTGGTACATCATTACTTTGACCAGCTTGTATCTCAGAGGGAGAGAATATCTTTCCATGTGGAGTATAGAATTATCTACACACTTGTAGCCCAAATAGCCTGTGTTTGTGTGAAGTTCTTCATGCTTTTCTTCTCTTTGTCTTTGTAGGAGCGTCGTGTAGCTGCAAAGCAGCTGGAAATGCAGAACAAACTTTGGGTCAAAGATGAAAAACTGAAGCAGCTGAAGGCCATTGTTACTGAATCAAAGAGTGAAAAGCCTGAGAGGCCTTCACGGGAGAGAGACAGAGAGAAGCCTATTCAGAGATCAGTCTCTCCACCACCAGTACCTGTAAGTTGCCTTTAAAGCACTTCTTGGTAAAGGAACAAGTGTACTTCTAAGAATGAACTAAAATGCAGAGCGCTTTTCTCTAGTGGCTAGGAAACGTTTCCCAAGCACAGAATTTGGATGTTTAAACTGCTTTTGAATTCTTCTCCTCTTGTATTTATATTGTTGTATTTTATTTGTGCTCCTACTTTCCTAATGCCTTCAGCATTGAAGAACATCTGATTCTCAGTGCTGTCACTGCTCTCCAAAACCAGAAATTCGGGTGGCTACGCTGAGTATCGACTGCGTGCAGTGGCACTGTCTTATTGCCTTGTGAGTTGATAGTTCTGTGTCTTAACTTTCCCATTCTCTTTAGCATTCTGGTAACTTTATCACTCAGGTTCCTAACAGCCAGCGACTCGTGAGCAACCAGCAGGTGCACAGACGTTCAAATTCCTGTAGCAGCATTTCTGTGGCTTCCTGCGTTATGGAATGGGAGCAGAAAACCCCTTCACACAAGCATACAGGTGGCAATTCTAAAACAAGGACTAGACAACAAGAACCAGGACAAAGTAGAGACTGTAACACCTCAGACAGAAGGCGAGGGATGTGCTGGACTGGAATCACTGAGGTTCCCAAACGTAGAGATGAGCTAGAGATGGAAGAGGATCAATGCTGCAGGGTTAGTGCTGCTCCTGTCAAAAGCTACATGTAGTGTTAGTGTGGCTCAAAAGTCCATCACAGCTGCTCCTTACGTTGGGTGTAAAAGAGACTTTTGAATTTTCCCCTGAACGTATTTCTCACAGGGCAGTGCTGTTCCCAAGCTGAGTCTCACTATTACTCTTTAAATCTTTGATTTGGCATTTAAAAATCTTTACAAAGCATTTCTGTTTCTCGTTAGTGTGTAGATAGCTGTGGAAAGGAACTCTGAACTAACCAGGCCTTTTTTTTTCTAGCTCTGAGTGTGTCTTTGTTTTAATTTGTGTCTGTCTCCTCAAATCCGTCTTACAGCCTGTAATTTACCACAGTCCTTTTTGGGCAGCTTAAAAGGTGGTCTTATGAGCCAGCCACATGCAAATATCTACTAGAAATAGTGCTTGGACAAATTTCTCACTTGAGTAGCTGTTAACTTTTGCTCTCCTAGAATAGTCTTTCCAATGTTTCACGTCTGCATTAGAACTGGGGGGGCTTTGCTTATAGTTGAGAGATGCTTCTTCATTAAATTGCTGTGTGCACATGTCTGTATGGTGGTGTCTCTGTCGTGATGTAACTGTCACAGTGGCTCAGGTAAATCCGTGAGGATTGTGTTACATCCTGCTCCCAGGATCAGAGCCCGTGAGAGGGCTTCCCGAGAAGGGAGAAGCTTATCATGGTGTTTTACTTTGTTGGGTATTGTTTTCAGAATTCCTGCTGCTTGCTAGTCCCAGCCCTTTGAAGTGTGGGACGTGGTTTAAACAGATGCTGTTCCAATTAACTAAAACACAAATCACCAGCATCAGATTATGGGAGGTGTTCTCTCCCACAATAAAATGTGACTGGTAGTAATGTCTTCCTTTGGACTTAATTTCCAGATTTCTAGGGCAGAGTTACAGAGTTCTCCATTAAAAAGAGGAGAGATCTTGAGTGTTTTATTCCTAATTTTCCATGTAAAACAACTTTGGAAGCCATGAATCTCTAGATACATTTAATCTTTAGAAGCTGCTTTAGCTCTGTAAGAGCTCAACCTGCAAAGGACACAGCTGGCCTCATCTCTATTGCTGAGAGAAATCCCAATTGCTGTGCACCACCTGAAAGCACAGCGAAGGGATTTGCATTCATAGCTTCAGGTTATTTAACATCACTGTGATTCACAGAGAGCTGTACACTAGTGAGCAAACAGAACAGAGGGAGCTTGCAGCATTCTTTTCAAATGCCCCTTTGGGGATTTTGGAAGGACCCAGGTTTTTAAACAAACTGTTTTCTGGTTTACCTGAGCAACTGGCAACGTTCATGAATGTGAGTTACAAATCTGTGAACCCCCTGCTTCTTGTGGGTTTCCAGCAGCTGGGCTCAGAAGCAGTAATGCTAGCAATGGGCACTCCTCCTTTTTCTCTGCTTTTAATACTTCTGAGTAAACAGAGGCTTTGTGTCTTCAACAGCTGTTGAAAAGCCATACTCAATCTGTTTCCTTTGCTACATCAAGATTACATCTTGATCCATTAGTGCATCTGTGGAAGCACTTCCAAATCTATCTTTTCAGGTCGGTTAATATGTTTGTGGCAATCAGATCAGGGGAATCTGGGAGGAGTGCTGCCAAAGAGAAAGATGTTCTCCTTGAGGAAACCCTGCCATGTGGGGAATGCAACCGATTGGATGAAACGACATCCAATTAGTGGGAAATAATTGGCACAGAAATAAAATCCATTAAGCGTTTTTGCAAGGCTCACGGTAACAGTGCGTTTCAGGGTGGATTCTGAAAGGAACAAAGCTTTGATCTTCAGATAAATGCATCTTAACCAGACCTGCAAAAATCAGTTTTGCTAATGATAATGCTTTGAGAAGCTTACTGTGTGCTGATTTCTTCTGATTCTCTTCCCACTCTGATCAGAACGCACCTCCAGTTCGTCTCAGACACAGACGGTCGCGCTCAGCTGGGGAGAGATGGGTAGATCATAAGCCACCCTCTAATCTGCCCACTGACACAGTCATGCAGCCTCATGTCCCTCATGCCATCACAGTAGCAGCTGCAAGTGAAAAGGCACTAGCTAAGTGTGACAAGTACATGCTGACGCACCAGGAGCTAGCCTCTGATGGGGAGATTGAAACAAAGCTAATTAAGGTAAAGCAAACACCTCCGTGGTAAACTTGTGATAACCCTGTCGAATCCTATTTCTGGCAATGTGTTTGTGCTATGGGCTCGTGCCTTGCAGAAAGGTGTGTTTGACTGCATGTGCTAAGAGAATGGACTTGCAAGTTTTGTGCTGTCGAATTCAAGGGAGGTTTTAGAGTCTGAGAATGCTTTTCTTGAACTTTGTCATTATTTTATGTATGCATCATCGTCACATACTTATTACTTGAAAGTAATGAAGGTTTGTTTTCCCCTCTAGTAAAACACAACAATCCATTCATAATGAAAGTTTCTTAGACTTGTGACTGCAGCTCACCTTGCAGCGTTGCTCTTGTTGGAATGGTATTTGATTTAGGTGGCTGCAGTGATGGATGCTCAGATGCTCCATAGCAGAATTCCTGGTATACAACTAATGAGCAATTTGGGGGGATGACTTTAAGCTTTGAACTCTTGCAAATGTATGCTTACTAACTCGAAGGAAAGCTGTAGCAGTAAGTGCTTAAGTTTTCATGTGAAAACTGACAGTGCAGCTGGCACAGGAACCTCATGGCTGTAACTTCTTAACTGCTTTTGGCTCCCAGGGTGATGTTTTCAAAACCAGAGGTGGTGGACAGGCTGTGCAGTTCACAGAGATAGAGACTCTGAAGCAAGAATCTCCAACTGGGTGAGTTGTGCCCTTAACTTTGGGCTCTGGTTCTGTTGGAAATGTAGAACTTTGGTACTTGGTGTGTAACTGATTCTGGTCCAAATGGTTGAGTAGAAATGTAGTTGTGTCTAACTCAAAATCATATGAAAGTAACTTTGAGGAGCTTTTTGGCACTGATGGCCTGTCTGCTGTTGAGAGAAAAAGCACTTAATTGAAAAACTACACAATGTATTCTGTTGTGCATGAGAATCTTGTAGGTTCTTTAAAGAAACTGACATTCCTGTAACATCTTCTTGTTCTTCCCCATCCTTGTCTTACAGTCGAAAGCGAAGATCGTCGCCTTCCAATGCTGATCCACCAGAGGATGCTGCAGACTCTGAATGGACAGATGTGGAAACCAGAGTAAGCTACAAAGGAGGGAGAGAGATCTCATGTTTGATCTTGATGAGGGCTTGGAGTAGTGTTTGTAGCTGGGTCGGGTCAGGGTTAGAGACTGACTATCTGTGTCTTCTCAGTGTTCTGTGGCAGTGGAAATGAGGGCAGGATCTACCCTTGGACCTGGATATCAGCATCACGCTCAGCCCAAGTAAGTGCCTCTCCTCTCTACTTGATGCATTGTTCTCTTTCCTGGTAACTCCTAAGGTGAGACCACCCTTTTTTTTCCCCTTCACCTTGTTGCCCTTCCTGCTTTGGGTTTGCAATGCAGGCGTTTTTATTATACTGTGAAGTGAACGGGCTTGTTGAGTGTTGGAAACACTGGCAGTACAGATCTGTAGGGGACTTCTACCCAGAAGATGTTCTGGCACATTCTCTGGCATTTAGTGCTGTGAGCAGAATGTCAGGTTTGATCTTGTCCTGCTGCAGCAATTCAGAGTGCTCTTAGCTGGACTGCAAAAAGCTGGGGAGTGTAGCATGCCTGGCAGGTCACAACTGGAGTGGGATCAAAGGTGACAGTGGCATAGGACTGCACTGTCCTTCTCCAGTCCCTCGAGCCTTTATCAGATTCTGATGTAGTTAAAACAAAACCTTCATCTTTGTCTTTTTAGATAAATTGCCGTGAGGTTACAGATCCTCACCATTCATTTTGGTGCCTCAGCTGAGGGAATCATTGGATATGCTTAATAGCATACCTGAATGCAGCTAATATTTTAGCTGCTACCTGCTATGCAACTGCTAAGAGATCTGCTGAGGAAGCGTGGGCTCTAGTCATGCCAGAAGAATCTTTCTTCCTCTTGACATGCATGGATAAATCTGAGTTGGTCAGGGCTCTCATCCATCTTTAATGTGATGGGGTCAGAGCTGCAGTTACACAGCACCCATACCAGATCAGAAGCCTCAATTTATAGGAGAAGTTGAAACGATGTACTTGGTGAAGTTGGTGCCTAACTCTTCAACCAGACATCATAAAAAAAATAAATCTCTTGCCTATAAAAGAAACATTGCACATAATCTAGTCTTGCTAAACTAGATGTTGCAGAACAGAACTAAGTATCCAGGTCTGGACTCTTGCAGATAGGTGCTGGCAGTGCTGTGGAAGTCACCTGTTCAACTCAGGGGAAGACAATTTGCAGCTTTGCAAGACATGTTTACAGGGAGGAGAGAGGGCTGGAGGAGTAAAGAGGTTTCTACAAAGCAACCCAAACTGAGTATCTTTGGAATCCAAATAGTAAGAATTAGTGAAGCACAGCTTCTCATCTCTTGTGTGATGTGTGTTATTTGTACGAAAAGGGTTCAGAACTGTAGTGGCAAGGTGTTCTGGGGAGTTTCAGAAATGAGTGGTTGCTGTTCTGGGTAAGGGCCCAAACGTTTGTTGCTGTTCTCACAGAAGCTGTCCAGGCTGGCTGCTGCTACTGGCAGCCTTGCAGCAGCCTTACAGTACTGTAGTCAATCCTGTAGTTTTCCCATGTATTGAACTGCAACTTCTATTTGTTTAAAGTTAATAAATTGAAATAAAACTTACTTTTAAGCTATTTTAAAAACAAGAAACCAGAATTCGCCTGTTTCTGGGTAAATAAGTTCTTTAGTTTGCTTGTAGTGTTTCTCAGCACAGAAAGTGCATTAAATTTATGCACGCAGCAGAACAAATACATGAGTTATTGACTGCTGTTACAGAAAACGACTGCTGTGTAAGATCTGAAAGTTGTTTGATTGCCTTCTTTTCTTCTAGGCGAAGAAAGCCATGACCTTAACGTCCTGCTGCGCTGGGATCCTGTTGATTTTTATCAGACTTACCTGCTGCCAGTGATAAACTGACTGCTTTGTTATCACTACCATCTTGTATTTTTTTAATACTGGCCTATGCTGGGCAATGGTTACGTGGAAAATGCTTTTTGCAAACCCGAGGAGGCGAGTGGTGCAAATACTTTCAGTGGGAGGTTCTGCCATTGCGCCCTGTGGGCTTCTGAAGAAACCCTTCTGTCTTGTATTTGTGAAGCCCTCATTATTAAGCTGTATCTTTTATAGAGTAACGACACGAGGCTTCTGCCTTGCATGTATTTCAGCTCTCTATAGGATGTACTTGTGCTCTGGTCACTGTCCCTTTCTTGTCAGGCCCTCTGTTTTGAAGAGGTGTAAATGCTGCAATTTACTCAGCTGCAGTAATGCACTTTACGAGTGTTCCTATGCCATTTCATGTGTTGTAGCCAGCAGCAGCTTGGTATTCTAAATTTCTTCTTTACCCTTTATTTAATATACAAATCAGCTTGTGAAATCAATTTTAATCTCAATCTTCTAGTCTTCGTGGTAACAAAGCGAGAATACCAAGATGATGAGTAATGATGACTTGACGTCATGGCTACTTCATTTTGTGGTGCAAATGAGTGAGTATTTTACATCTGTAGATATGGGGTAAAAGAGTGATGTGCTCACTGATACGGTGATGACCTTTATATATGTGGCTCTGCATGTTAAAATAAATACTTCTGTTCAGTGGCTCTTACTGGTCATGTTCTCATCACACCACCGTGTGCTAAACTACAAAAACTAAGGTAAGCCCTGCAGTTTGTTTTGCTTTTCTTTTCTTGGAGAGATTTTGTGAGTTTGATCTAAATTGGCAAATCCTGTACTGTCATGGAGCAGTGGGAAGCTCTGGCATGGCAAACCAGTGCCACTAGGTGGTGTGAAATAACCGCTGTGGGGTGCTGGCCTTGGAATGCTGCGCTCAGCTGCCCTGCACGGAGGTTGGCTTTGCCCTGATTTCCTCTTTTGAGCACTGCTGAGTTTTGGGGCATTGCTAACCTGTGCACTGTGTCCTCGCTGCCACACATCTCCTGCCTCGGACAAGAAGGGCAGCCAGCAGAAATAAGAGGCAAAGAAACTCGTCAAGGCTGTACTCCTCTTTCAAGTGTTTGAATTAACTCCTTTACATGCAGCAAAATGATTTGGCTGCTATTAACGATAAGCAAGCTATCAAAGGCATTATCTCTTTGATTTAGGTTCAGTCACCCTGTCATCAGCATAAGCTGTATAGAGAGTGGGGAAACCTGGGAGGGAGCCTTGGGAAAGCGTTCAGAACTTCATGAAAGAAAGCAGTAGCTGCACAACGTGGCTTCATCTGGGTTGCTTCAAAAGCAACGTGAATGAGGAGTTCTGACTCAGCGCTCAATGTGCTGTTTTCTCTGCCACTTGTGGCAAAGGATGTTTGGCTGAGGTGTCTGTTTCTCAGTCCCTGTGAAGTTCTGTGTCTCGACACGTAGTGTTTTGCAGGAGCTTTTCTCAGAAGCTCCATGTTTCGAATGAGGATGCACGAGGAGTTGCTGCGGCCGCCTTGTCCAAATAAAGGTTAATGTAAAGCAAATCTGAGACCTTGCAAAGGAGGATGCCTGTGTCTTTGGCAGGGCTGTGAGGAAGGTGGCAGCTTGTTAACAAGTTGTATCAAGTCTGTGACTTGCTGTTCACGTGCTGCCCGTGAGCTCAATGTGAGCTGGCTGCTCAGGCTTGTGTTTGGAAGGGAACTGAGCTCAGCAGTGTGCTCTGTGCTCCTTGGGATGGATGCAGCATGAGGCCTGGCAGCCTGGGGGGGGGGGGCACAGGGGCTCCTGCACTAGTGATGGTGGCAGAATTTCAGTGCATGTCAAGCTGTTTCCTGGCCCAGATCTAGCAGTGCTTGTCCGTGGGTGGAATTGCATGCAGTGCCACTCAATTGCATTCCTGTGAAGTCGTTCTTCGTGTCTTTGCGTCCTCTTCACATATTTACTCTAGCACATAGCACTGGCGGTGTTTACTCTGCAAAGATTCCTCTAAGACTCAGCTAAGCACACAATTTACTCAGCTAACAAGGGCTGGCATTTATTGTGGGTATCTTTGTGTACTTGTCATTCTTTCGTCTCCGTTGACATTCAGTGGGAAGCGTTAAAGCAAACAGCAGCACGCAGTAGGAGGGTTGCCTGTACCAACGCTCCTCTGTGCAATAGCTGAGCGAGGCCTTCTGCTTGTGTTGGCCCAGCCAGCTCCCCCACTTGCTGTCAGCGGGGGTGGAAAAGCCTTTATTGAGCTTCCTGGGGGGAAGAAATGGTTGGAAATGCAGGTATGGGGGTTTGCTTGTTTTTTGCTGTGCGCTAATGCTTACCTTTATTTTTCCCTTGAGCTCTGCACAGACTGAGGCTGGCGTTACTTAAAGCAGGTAAGAGTGGAGCCCTGTGGAGTAAATAATTTTCAGTTATTGTTGGGTAGGATTTGGGAAAGTTGGCTCTGTTATTACCCAAGCAGGAGCTCTAAAACAAGGACATCCTGGGGTCTCACTAAGTAGGATACTTGAACAAGATGCTCAGCAGAGCTCAGTTGTACGTGGGACCACAGCAACCAGGGGGCGTAAAGGCATGGCAAATTATGCAATGTTGGTACTTCTGGAAAAAAAAAAAAAATTAACTTGAACAGGGAAGATCCTGGTAATTGCTTTCTCCAGTAGCTTCCTCTCAGAGCTCTCCCAGTTCATTGCAAGCTCTTGTTCCTTCTGCCAGTCCTTCCATTGGCAAGCAGGATCAAACCCTATTCCGGTGGGATGCATCACTCTGTTTTGCAGAGGCATGGAGCCCACTGGTGAAAGCAGCTCTTCAATGCTTTTGTTCTGAGGCTTGTTTTCCTGGTCTCTAGTCCCTGTAGCTCGCAGCCAGCAGTGTTTCAGCACTTCGAGTCAGCTTCTCTGGAAGAGAACTGATGAACGGTGGATGCTCTGTGCTCTCTGCAGGCCAGCCTGGTGTCAGAAGAATCTTGATTAGTTTGCTTGTAGTTAAGTTCTTTGGTATTCTTGGCAAATGCTGCTGTACATTCAGTTTGCTGAACTGAGTTTGTGTTTACCTTTTGAGGTAACGAATTCCTGCCACAATGGGCTGAAGTCTGCAGTTAGTGCTGCCCGTTCTTCCTGCCAGCTCTGGAACATCAGAGTTTCCTACTGGCATAAGGTGAAGGCTCTGGGCTCTGTTGCCTGCGTTGCTTGGATGTTCTTGGCATTAACTGGCCGCAGCCTCTGCTGAGTAATAAAAAGCAGAACAATAACATGCAGGCTCGACCCTGGAATCGTAGACTTCTCACAGTGAGCTGCAGTAGATCTGTTCTTGAACCCGGGCTTTCCTGAAATCTGTCTCAAAACAGTTCAGGATATGGTAAGAAAGTTCAGGGCGTCAATCTTATTCCAGGTCGTGTTCCGCCCCTTTGCCTCCACGGCAGTGAATCACTGCTAAGCATTGTAAGCACCAGAAGCCTGTAGGATTAGCTGAACTCTTCCCAGTGAAGTTAACGGGATTTTACTGCCTACCTCACTACCCTGCCTGCTCCTCCTGCCAAGTGCTTTGCAAAAAAGGTGCCTGCACTCTGCTCCTGTGAAAGCGTTCTGGCTGAACTCAGCCTGCGTGCTAGGCAGCCTGCCAGAGAGCAGGGGGTGAAAAAGCTGATATGGAGGAGCCTGTCTGCTTTTGGACCTGGCAGCTCCCGTGCGTGCTTCACACTTGCATGCTAACATGCTCCAACCCTGACCCCGGCAGCTACAGCTGTTCTCAGCTCAGGGCCCGCCATTCCCTGGATCCTCCCGTGCTGCCTGGTGGAAGCTATTTGCAGACGGGGATCAAAGGTCCAGCCAGCAAAACTGTCTGCTTGAGGCTGGCGTGGGTTGTCTGAGGTGGAATCCTTTAGCTTAAAGTCACTGCAGAGCACTTGCACTGGGGCCATGAGCGCTGCTGGCTGCCTCATCCTGGCTCCGAGCAGCTGCTGGGCTGGCACAGGGTGGAGGCATCACCCAGGAGCTGTGCTCCATTCCCACCACATCTCTGCTCTGTCCTTCCATCCGTAATGACAGCGGTGCAGGCATTGGGCTCCTGGCTGTGCCTCCCCCAGGACAGAGCTGAGGACTGGGGAGCGGCTGCTGCTGGCTGCCCAGCAGTCACTTCCTAGCAGTGGGTTTTGGTGTAAGGAGCTTTCTCGCAGTGAGCTCTGCCCTGCTTGCTGCTCCCTTTTGTGGTCTCTGTCACATCCAACGCTGATTTTTGCAGAACGTGTGTGGCCTCTGTTGCCTTCCAGTGGGACAGTTCTTGGTGGTGGCCCATAGCAGGGTGAGCTCTGCATCCCAGCAGCCAGGCTGCCAGCAGGACTCAATGTGCCAGAGCTGTGTGCGTGGCACCCGGGGGCTGGGCACAAAGGCTGAGAGCTCTTCAGAGCTGGCAGCAGTCATCTTGAGGTGGCCCGAAGGAATTGGAAGCAGAGCTGCTATTCTTCCGAGAGAAGCCTCACTGCTCACAGCACAGCATGAATAATTACAAGCAATAATCCTGGCAGGAGCGAGCGGCCCTCTTGAAATTGTGAAAGTGGATGAACTGCTGGCAAACGGCAGTGCCTGCGCTGGACAAGCAGGGTGGTGCAGCACAGGGATGGCATCACAGCTTGCTGTGCTGCCCTGCCAGCGTGATGAAAGCCACCCTGACTGCCCTGCTCAGGGCAGTTGTCACCTTGCATCTGAAGGACGCTGTTGGCTGCCAGCTTGGCAGCGTGCATTGAGTGCAGGGCCTGATCCCTCCTTGTAAACAGGGCAGATGTTTATGTGCAGGAATCCCCCAGCGCAGTGCTGGGCTGAGCAGGGTGAGCCCAGGGCTGCCTGCTGTCCCAGCAGTGTAAGGAGCGGCTCTGCCCATCCTGTGCACAGCGTCTGTCTGCAGCCTCTGTCCTGATTTATGTCGAGCTCAGAGGCTGTTAAAAATAATCCTCCCACATGCTAAAATTACATCGTCCCTGATTTATATTCAGTTTTGTGGACGAAGCGCCTATAAAAAGATGAGTAAAACACTCTTGTGGTGGCACAGGGGAGAACAGCCTTCTGTAGGAAAGAGTTCATCATCTCTTTGGCTGCAGGAAAAAAGCACTGGCACGACTGGGATGCCCCAGATTGATGCCCAGCAGTGTGAACCCAGCAGGGGGGTCCGCTGTGCCCAGAGGTGTGGGGATCTCACATCCCAGCAGCAGCTCAGCTCTCTCCAATGGCACAGTCAGCAAGAACTTTGTTTGACACAGGGGCGAAGCAGCCCCTTCCTGCCCCAACAGCTTGTTCTGCAGCTTTGGGTACTTGGATTTATATTGAAAATACCATGAGCTGCTCTTGTTGTTTTATTAGGAAAAATCTAGAGTCCGTAAAATACAATTCCCTGGGACAGGAGGCTAATCCTCTTATTTCTACACATTTCTGGATGATTAAATGGCTGGATTATTTAAGTAGTGATTTGTTGCTGGATTGCATCATCAAGGAGATCTGAAGCATAAATATTAGCTTTGGGCTTTTGGCTCTTTACTGCTGAAAGGGGTAGAAGGTGTACTGCAGACAAAAGGCAGGGAAATTAAATTAAATGAGCATGTGGAGTAGCAAGTCACAGCAGAGTCCCTACACCCTTATTGGCTCCGAGAGCTTTAACCTTTATAAAGAACATGTCCAGTAAGTAACATCAGCTTTGCCTAGTAAATCTGGTATCCTACTGTGTTTCTAAGTGAACTGGCCCTTCTGCTGTGCTTGGAAATGTTTCTGCAGTGTTTGTTAGCTTCTAGGGCTCGGATTAGTCTTTCCCTTGCACCGAGCCAAGTCCTGGCAGCCCTTCATACAGCTTTCCCAGCGTGTGGGATGGGGGCTCAGTGGGAGCCCCAGTGCAGCTCCGTGCTGCAGGGCTGCCCCTCCTGCTCCTCTGCAGGCTAGGAGTGAGCCGGGCTGTATGGATGGGAGGCTTGGGGGCTTCCAGCACCTAACAGCAGCATGGGACTGGTGTGGGGAGACCAATGGCACTGCTGGGACGTGGCCTTTGGAGAATGACTGCAGAAACACTGGGAGAAGCTAAAGAGAGTATTGGAGATGCTTGGGTCAGAGAGGGCTGTGGGGAGCACCCTGCCTGCCCCAGCATGCTGTGTCCCTGTGCCTCATGGCCCGAATGCTGAAGGGCTCCCATGCTGTGCTTCACCACATGCTGGACATCCTCCCAGTGCGTGAATTCCACAGCATGTCGGTGTGAGAGGGGAGTGCTGGAGATGTGCTGAGGGATGTGATCAGTGGTAATGGGTTGGAGGTTGGATTTGGTGCTCTGAGAAGTGTTTTCCATGGTTCTTTGATTTGCTGCTCCTGTCTGCCTGGTGCAGGAAGATAAAAGCTGCTGTTGCAGAAACGCTGTGCTGTGCTTTGGGCACCTTTGGAAGTCACATCTTGGTGGACTGTGCTGCTTGACGAGTCTGGCTCCTCAGCAATGCTTGGGGTGTCCTCATCCTGTCCTTCACCAGCAGTTAGAAACCTGCAGAGAGGGCAGCATACAGATGGGGGAAGGGGGGTGGTGAAATCCGCACCTTGCTGCTTGTTGTATTGCTCTGACGTGAAGGATGCTGGTGGGGGCTGCCTGGGGCTGTGTGAATCCAGCCCTGCCTGCTGTGCAGGAAGCAGAGGCAGGATCTTCTGTGCAAATCATCTGCAGCAATGTCCTTTGCTGACAATATGCATCAAGTCTGATGTGCCTTGGGGAGAGGAGGTGGGAAAAGGAGGGAGAAGCAGGAGAAGCTGCAGCAGGCAGCTGGAGAAGCATGGGGCTCCTAGAGCTTGCCCTCCTGTGTGCTGCTGGTCATGTGATGCTGGTGGATATCATACCTCAAAACACCTCTGCACCTCCCCCAGGACACTTGGCTATTCCCAAGATGAGTCCAGGCTCCATTTTGGAGCTTATGGTGCTACTAGCACTGATTGGAGGATGCCTAATTAAGTGAGGCTGTTGTGCATTAGCCAGTGATTCAGCTTTGTGCATGCGCAGCACTGGTTGCATTTGGTGATGGGTGGATGGTTGGACTGGATGATCTAGGTCTTTTCCAACCTTGGTGATTCTGGGCAGCATTTATCATAGTACCTTCTGCTGCTCTATGTATTTATTGCAATGCCTTTTACCCCTTTGTACCCACCAAGCTGTGGTTGTGCTCTACAACACAGCCCAAAAGCTGTGAGGGGAAAGGATCTTGGCCCAGAACTGCAATGCAAAAAGTGAGTAGGTAAAGGGACAAGGATATCCTCAACGGCGGTGGCAATCACTGACCCTAAACCTGACGGGGCAGGCATTCACAGCCTTGCTGGGGTGTGGTGGTGAGGATGAGAACACTGAGGGCACATTATGAAGTTGCCTTTGCTGGAAGTTCCCCTCAATGGGTGATGGAAGTGAGCAGGTCTGGCTCTGAGGACGCAGCCTGGGTCTGCAGGGACCACTCCTACCTCCAGGCAGCCTGGAGAACCCCACCTGCCACTGGGTTGTGCTGGCATTACCTCTCCTTCCTGGGGCTGCAGCCCTGCAGATTCAGGACACAGGCTGTGCCCGGTGCCATGGATCCCTGCAACGTGCTCAGATGTGGGGACTGGAGTCACTTGAAGGCTGCCAGATAGAGGACATATGAGGCTGAAGGTAGAGAAACCTCCTGCTTTGGGTTCCCAAAGTTTGGAAGAAGTGCAATTAGAGTGAACTAATACAAAGATGCAATAACAGAGGCACATTTAACACAATACAGGTATGAGAATCGGTGCGTGCAGGAAGAGCGCTTTGCTGCAGAGTCAGAACTGGAGCAGAGCTGGAAAGCAGAACTCTGCAGCCACTTTAAGAAATCCAGTTGGAAAATAAGGCAAAGTAAATATTTACTCCTGCCTGGGCTAGCTGCATGCATGATTGCAGTGGGAATTCTTCACACTGCCCCGTTAATGCTCTCATCTGCTGGCTTAATGCACGCTGGCAGTGGGAGGAGCTGCAGGCTGAGCCCCTCCAGGTGCTTTTGGAGCCTCACTGTTAAACACCACTCCTGCTTTTTAATGAGCCCAACCTCCAATGCAAATTAGATTCCAAATAATAAGTAATTAACTTTATCAAATTGACATTGCCGTTTATAACAAAATGTCAACACCGCCTTTATAAACAAGGCAGAGCTGCTATTTGCGGAGCCAATGGGGGGAGAGCGTGGGTAGGAGGACGCAGCAGGGCTGGGATGGAGAGCAAATGCTTCATTCCCTTCCCATGGCTGTTCTTCCACTGCTGCTCAGAGCAGCTCCTCGGTGTCCCATACGCTTTGCTGGCACGAGGTGACACGGATGGGATGTATTCCCTGCTGGGCGCAGGCACTGTGCCTTGGGGAAGGGTGCAGCAATGGGGAAAGCCTTTGTGTCGTGGAGCTCATGGCCCATTTCTTCATTAAATGGTGCTTAACTGCAGACCAAGGTTTTGCTGATGGTGTTTCCAGAGGTGTAAAGCACAGCGGAGTTTGCCTCCAGCCTGGATTTCCTCACCCCTTCCTCCGGGTCCCATCTCATAACTGGAGGAACTGGAATGAAGGCCGGCGGTGCTGCGCTGGGTGCCAAGGCTGTGATGGATGGATGGACCTCATAAAAACGTGCAAATGTGCAAAGCGGGAGCCGGCTTAACAAAATAACCACTGTGTTTGTAAGGAGGAAAAAGGAGTGTTTACTCTCACGTATGGAAATGAAATCACTTCTGCGTGTCTTTCTGCCTCACCGAAGGACTGCAGTTACTCATTCACCTCTGGTGTCCTCGCGAGCAGAGGTTAATGGTTGCAGGAAGGATCACGGTAATCCTTCCTGCAGGTACCGAGTGGAGCAGAATGGAAACCCAGAAAGGTGGGAGGGCTTCTGCAATGGGGATCCCGTGGGGAATGGCACCTGCTGCCCTGCGTGGTGTGCAAGGGGAGAGTCATGTGTGGGGCCGTGTGTGGAATTCTGCCCCAGAGATGCTCCCAAGGAAGCTGCCTTCAACGTGCGTTGGGTCACAGCTTTTTGTGAGATGTTATTTTCGTAGTGGGGAAAAATATCCGTTTTGTTGGCATGGGCGTTGCTGTGAATTCGTCTTCTTACCGCAGTTCTGGCAAAGTCGGGCCAAAATTTGGCAATCCAAAAGGAAACGTTAATATAAAACTGTGTGTAGAGGAAGGACTCGGATGGCTTCTGCCCTAGGAACTGGATGTGCCGGCACAGAGAGGCTTTAATGCTCTAACGAGCCAGGTGCAAAGATATTATTTATTTTTCTTAAGGTTACTGCTCCTGAGAGTCCGTTCATCCATAAGGATGCCAATGGGATTTGTGGCCTTTTCAGTTCGTGTCTTGGCAACGAGGAGCGGGCGCCGATCCACCAGCAGGGTCACTTTGGGTTGGGGCAGCGCTGGGGGGGCTGTGCTCCGTGCTGGGCTCCGGGAGCAGCCCTGCCCCTGGGGCAGCCCCTGGGAAACGCGTTTGGTTCCATCCCCAAACCCATCTCCGATTTCAGATCTTTAAAAAAAAGAAGGAAAAAAGAAAAAGAAAAGCCAAGCCGCATTAATCCCATCAGTGGAAATAATCACGTTGGGCCCACGATCTTAATCTTTCATGTCGTACACATCTGGAAAAGTAATTCAGGGAAATAATATAAACTTCAGCTAAGCTGTATAAACCCAACAAGAAAGTGATTTCATTTCGCTGCGGCTCGGCAGACCTTTGTCACACGCCTTCCTGTAACAATATTGACTTTATAACACCTACACTTTGTTCTCTTCCTTAACAGGACAGCTGCTAAGTGCTGGTAAAACAAACATCACATGTTCCGTGGGGCTCCTACAAGGTTTGCAATCAGGCGCTCTATAATAACTGCTTAAATACTCTCATCAAGCTTGTCCTTGCTGTTTGCTTTAGGACACGGTGTTTTTTTTCTCCCCTCCCTATTTATTCTGCATGAGCGATAGGCAGAGCTAGAGGTCACACAAAGTAAATGCAGGTGGTGCTTTGGGCTTTTTCCTTTTTTTTTTTTCCCCCCATTGCTGAGCTTGCCTTTCCGAAGCAGCGGAGCGGATGTCCCCCTAAAAGCATTGCCTTGTTCTCCCAGGCATGGTGATCTCTCCAATGCAGGTCCCTATGAGCTCCTGGCGTGCTTTCAAGTCCAAGCTGAGCAAATGCAAGATGACAAGAAGAATAAGATCTTGCTTAGCAGGGAGAGGAGCACTGAGCACTGATCTGGGGGTGGCTGCTCCTGCAGTGCAGTGATGTATCACAAAATTAGGTTCCCCTTTTGGATGGCCTTCAAGGTGAGCAGAGATGGGAGAGGACGGAGCTCAGTGCTGGGGCCCTGTCTCCCAGTGCTGGTGCAGCCTTGCCATGGGCCGTGTCCTGGACCAGCAGCTTCCACCCTGGGCAATCAGAGAACCATGGGAACATTAAGGTTGCAAAAAAGCTCTCTGCATCCCAGTACGCCGTGCCCATTGCCCACATCAGTGCCACATCCCTGCAGCTCTGAAACACCTCCAGAGATGGTGATCCCACCACTCCCTGGGCAGCTGTGCCGGTGCAGCACTGCTCTTACGAGCCTGAAATTGTTCCTAACACCTAAGCTGAGATGCAGAGGTTGATACCAGCTGCTGCCGGCTTCCTGGTTTTGCTTGCAGCTGTCCCAGTGAAGCTGCACCTTTCCTTCAAACCCTCTGTGATGTGCAGCAGGCACTACGGGTGGGACATCAAACCCCACCAAGGCCTACAGGCAGCTGCAGGTGTGAGAAAAGAGGAACTGCGTGGGAGCTGCTGCTGGTTTGGCTCAGGTGGGTGGAAGGGAAGGGGCGAGCACATCTGGGGGGCAGGAATGGGTTTTTTCTTGATGCAGTGGCTGTCCTTGTTCCAAATCACTGCATTGTGTGTTCCCTTTAAAAACAAGGGCGACGCAGCACGCTTCCTTGCTTTCTAAGAAAGGGTTTACTCATGCTGAAGTCCTCACTGAACGCAGTGCTGAGCTCTGGGCGCTCTCCAGGTGTCACAGTCACTGCATCCAGGAGCCACGGGTGTGGGCAGGGTGTGTTTGTGCAAGGGATGGTCCTGGTGTCAGGATGGGACCCCGCTTTGTCAGGGGGTGCTTTGCCTCTGGGAGCAGCAGATCAGGGCTGGGGGCTGAGTGAGGATGTGGAGTTAAATCACTGCGTGGGAAATCAGTCTGCAGAGCAGGGGGGGCTGGGTTTAGATAATTTTTATGGCTGGGCTCCTCATATTACTGCATAAATAGTGAAAAGCATTCTGAGGGGGTGGCTGACAGCATGCCACATCAAGGGTGCCATACCCAGGGTTGTTGGGGTGCAGGATGCAGTGCTGGCAGTAGCAGGCTGCTTACTGAAGCAGTGCTGATTTAGAAGGACAAAAAAATAAAGAGGTGATTGCACTGGGATGCGATGAGCAGATTGGAAATCACACCACTGCGTGGCATGGCTGATTTGTGGCAGGGGCAGCAGGATGCTCCTCCTGCAGCAAGGGCATCCTGGGGCTCGTTGGCACTGCTTCCAAATAAGCCAGACCTTGGTGTAGGTGTTCTCCCCATTCACCCTCCTGGATGGAAGTGTCCCCTCTCCCCTTGTCCTTGGTCCTGTTAAACCCAGCCCCAGGCAGGAGCTGGTGTGCAGCATCCATTACCTTGGTCTCTGCAATCAAAAGCCATTTATAGTAAATGTGTTTGCTTTGTACTGAATTACTCATGATGCTGCCAAGTACAACCACACCAGCTGTTAATTAGAGTTTAGCTTTTATTACCAAAAAGTCTGCTCTGTTGATATGGAAAATGGGAATAAAAAGTCATTTAACCTATTGTGATGTGAAAATAAACGATGACTTGTTGGTTTAATTAAACAGTCTATTTATCTAGCCGTCAAAGTGTTTGAACACACGCAGGATTACGAGCGGGCGCTATCCTGCCTTGTCTCCTGTTGTCTGCATAATCCTGTTGTTGGAAGGGAGTCACCTGCTCCATGCCCCGTTGAGCCCAACGTGCATCTTTCAGCAGAGGAGCCCCATGCATTGCTGCACATCCCTCCCCTTTCCTCCCATCCAACATGGAGACATCAACTCCTTTCACAGAGTCATAGGATGGCTTGGGTTGGAAGGGACCCCAAGGTTCCAATCCCCCCCCACAGGCAGGGGCACCAACCTCCAGATCTGACACTAGCCCAGGTTGCCCAGGGCCTCATCCAACCTGGTCTTTTCCACGTGCTCACGTTCTGTGCTTCCCAAAAGCACGTCCCTTGGGCTCATTTGGGAATTTTGCTGCACGTTCCATAGCAGAAAGAATCTTAGGGCTTCCAGAAACCTGCGTGCTCTTCAATGCCTTCATCTCTCCATTGAGATGGTGGTGAAAAGGGAGGTTCTCAATGCTCACATCTGACGTTCTTTGTATTTTGTGCCGTTTCTTTGTCCCTAACAGCTCTGTCTTGAACGGTGCATGGATTTCCAAGAAGAACACGGCCAACTGGAGAGCCTGGAGCTGGCCGGCGGTGGAACCAGCAGCTCTCATACACATGGGCTGCCGGACGGTGAGGCTCAAAGGACGGGCATGGGGAGCAGGTTTGACCAAGCATGGTTCACTTGGTTCACCTGGTTGGATGCCAGTCTGTCCTCGGTGTTCCTAACGGGTGTGGGTGCTGCTGCTGTTTGCTCCTGGCCGCGGCGCAGGACACGCGCGCTGCGTCTCCAGCGGAGCACTGAACTTGTCGGCGCTGTTTACTTACGCCTTCGCTCTGTTTGTGTAGTCAGAAGTCTCAATCTCATATTTATCTCCTCTTAAAGCGGCTACAGTTTATACTTTAAACACATTAATCATTTCCAAGCCTTTAAAGGGCTTTTAAGTGGAGACACTGGTTATGTTTGCCTTTTATTTAAAAGTCTCCCTTCCGAATTGGGAGGCAAGTGCTTCAAAGGACATTGAAGGAGCGTGCTCTCAGATGAACTGCAACTAGTAAGCCTTCCCCTGTGCAAAAAATAGAGCCCAAAAGGCCTTGTGCTTCAGAGGGCACCTCTGTGCCTGGCTGGGTGTGCATGTTTTTTGGACTGTCCTTGGCCAATGGTTCCTTTTGAAGGATATGGACTCTCCTAGGTGCCCGTCTCCATCGTAGCCTGTGGTTTGCTCCCTGCAGCCTGTGGTTGGGGCTCTGTGGTCCCTAGGTCTCATGAATCAATCCTGGAGTCTTTCAGCTCCAGCTTAGCAGTGACAGAGCACAACCATGGAAGGATTCTAAGGCCCACACCCCCTGCACAGCACAGTATGTGCTGCTCCCAGCTGCACCAGCACTGCTCCTGGCTCTGGGTTTGGGGCTCCAAACCTACCCTGGTGTTCTCAGGAAGAAGTTCTGGCTCCTTCTTGGGTCACCAAAGCAGCCCAGTGGGGATACAGCACCCTGGCATGCTCTTGGTAAATACTGGCACACTCGTTTATTGGACAGGGAGGAAGTCCTACCAGAATTAAGAACGCTTCATATAGAGATGGTAACTGCTGTGAGGCACTGCTGCTTGGGGCTGGAGGTCAGGCATGCACAGCCTTTCCTTAGTGAGGGCCTGGGACCTCAGATGTGCGTGCTGCAAAGTGGGTGGTGCCCATGATGGCTCACAGCTGTCTGCTGGGGTGTAAATAAAGCAGTGGCTGGGCTGGTGAAGGATTTTTAACAAAGGTGTTGCTGTTGGCTTTCGGTTGATGGAGGTTTTTGCTCCCGTGGCATCTCCACACCTGGCTGCTGGGATGTGCTTTGTTTGGAGGTTGGTCCTCCAGAAGCCTTACTTTTTTTCTTTTCCCATAAAACCATTGGAAACAAGTAAGCTGGAGGTTAAATATCAGACCTGCAGCTCCAAGTCCTCCTCCAGGCTGTGCAAAGAGGTGGTGGGAGTCTTGTTTACATTACATTAATGGCAGAGAAAATTCTTTGGGTTGGAGCAGCTTCTGCTAGGATAAGGAGAAATGTTTTTTGGGGAGAAAATTTGCTTTTCTTTTTTCTTTTTTCTTTTTTTTTTTGAGAATCTGCCCTTTAAGATTCCTGTTGGCACTGTGTGCTCAGCACCAGGCACTGAGAGGAGCCCATTGCGTTCATCTTCTCTCCCCTTGGCCTCCATGCTCCTCCGCCTCTGTAATTGTAACAAATGCTTTTTCCATAAGATGTCAGTGTGGCACAGGAATTTGGATGCTTGTTTGTTAGTTGTGAGTAATCCATCATGGGAAGTAAGGGAAAGCCATCTTCTGGGCCGTCCCCAAGTGTCAGCTCGTTTACGGCTCGCGGCGTTAATTTTTCCATTGGCAGAGAGGCAGAGGAATGGCCACACTGATCCCATACCATGAAAGGACGGCTGCTCGCCTTCAGCGAGGTCAGGAAATGTTGAGGAACCAGAAAATGAGTGTGAGATGCTCCCAGCTGCCCGGTTCCTGCTCTCCCTGTTCAGCTCTTCCACCCGACTGATTGACGTGCCCCCAGAATTGAACCTTGAACGCTGTTTCCACCCTTCTGTGCACTTGAAACAACAGTCTGGAAAACGCATTGGTGTTTTCATAGCGTTTTTGGGTAACCCTCTTTTACCATAGGTATAGCCAAAACAAGGAGAAAACCCCTCAGGGCTGCAGGACCTAAGGACACGCCACACGCCGATGGTGAGGCTCCTGCTGACCTTGCTGGGAGCTGGACCGATGCCCGGTGGCAGGCAAAGGCTGTGTGAGTGGGGTGTGCTCACCCCAGCCCTGCTCTTCCCATGCTGTTGGGGCCCAGGGTATGCATTTCCCCCCCGGCAATGGGCAGATTTGGATGGGTTGGATGTTGCGCAGCTCTCTCCCTTCTCTGGTTTCAGCTTGGTTGTTAAACCCAGTAATATGCGCAATAATCTGCCTGTCTGGGATTAATATAACGTTATATGTTTCTTGAAAGCCTTTCTGATCCCGCAGTTAATTTAATCTTTTATTAACATTAACGAGCTCATGTGGTGTCCAGCAAGCCTGGGGAGAATGCTTTCCAATACCAACAGATGACAAAGAGATGAAAATATAATAGCAGATGAATTCCTCCTTCACCGCAAAGGCAGTGAGGAGAGCAGAGCAGAGCCTCCTGCTCAGCAGAGCACGTACTGCTCGCTAACGTGAGCTGCCAGGAAGCAGTGCTCATTGTTGAGGCTTTGAAATGGCAAAGGGAGAGATTACTGAGAGGCGTATCTCTGGCCGAGGAGCAGTGCGCACTTAACAGCTATCGGCGCCCAAGTGCCAAAAGGAAAACGTTAACCTCCCTGGTGCCAAAGAGGCTCTGTGGATCCATTCTTTGGCCTCAGTGCAATGTTATAAAACAGAAATAATGGCAGTCTGGAAAACGGCCATTTCGCTGCTAGGAATTGCTGCTTTGTGCACGTGCCAGGTTCCCACCTCGGGGCACAGGAGTTGAAGCGCAGGGCAGCAGCGTGCCCACCCCCAAGCAGTGCCAGGAGCTTCCATCCTCCCTGCATCCCTCCACTGACTCAAGCAGGTGACACCCATCCTGCCCCGGGCCGTTCCTTTGGGCTGCGCTTTGGCAGCGGTGCTGAGGGCTGTGCCCAGGTTGGTGCTGGAGGATCAGAGGTGGTGGAGGTTGCGTGGCCGCTGCTCGTGCCGGGCTGCCTTGGCGCGTCACCCGAGAGCCGCAGCCAGACCTGGAGGGATCCAGAAGTTTCATTAATTTCCAATTGAGCTGGAGCCGGTGTGGGTCGCTCCTCTCGCTAGAACAAAGTTGTTCTGCACACCCAACAGCACCGGCATTGGATCCAGATGGAAGAAGCTCTGCTCCAGCATGCAGAGGGAACTCATTAGGGGTGTGCTCCATTCCAAGGAATTCCTCTCCAATTTCCTTCCCGATTATCCCGCTTATCCACGCATGAACCCTTCCCTGCTCTGATGCTGCTTTATCTTTTGAACGGATGGGTTTTCTTTTTCCTTTGTGCTCTGTGCTGATGTTGTGTGGCCATGTTGTGGCAGGAGGGGCTGCTGGGTGCAAGGAGAGGGGGTGTCCCCTGGGGCTGCTCTGTCTTTAACGCGTAAAGCAGAGACCTGCCAAAATACAGTGCCAAGATCACACCAGGCGCTTGCCCTTAGCAGGAGGCTTTCATAGAAGCATTAAAAGTTGGAAAACACCTCTGAGATCCCCAACCCATCCCACCGTGCCCACTGGTTGTCCCCAAGTGCCAAATCCCCATGGTTCTGGAATTCCCCGCAGGGACAGGGACACCACTGCTCCCTGTGCAACTTGTGCTGGAGCAGCACTGCTCTTTCAGAGGAGAAATCCATTGGGCACGGGGATTGCCTTTTGTGTGCTACCTGCCCTGCTTCTGCACGCTGCCCAGGAATGTGTGCCGTAAGTAACGGACGTGGGGTGGCTGCACTGCTTTGCACGCCAGCTGGGCTGTAAGGGCAGGAAAGAAGCATAAAAATGAGCTGTAAAGAGAAGGGCGAACAGGGTTTGACTGACTCAGTGAGGAGAAATTAGTGATCGAGTTGGAGTTTTCTGAGCCACAAGCTGCAGTTTACTTTAAACTTTAGGAAAGTGTGGTCTCTGCTGAGGTCTGCACTGTGGTG